ACCAAGTTTGCTTGATGTGTTTTTATCAAACACTGTAGTGAGCCGAAGAATACTGCTTTGGGTTGGATTAATAACATTAAAACACCACCACATTCAGTCTTTATAGTTTAATATGCTCATTTAAAATTGATTTAATGTTGGAACCGACCCACCTCTTTAAGATTAGGAGGTGGCAGACCAAGACATGACTCATCTGGAGCTCATACATTCCTGAAATTCCTGACATTTTGTTGGTTTCACTGTCGTGTGCATCTATTCACCTGATCCCAACATTGTGTTTGTGTTTGGGGAGGGAAAAACGTGGGACAATGAGCCAGCAGATGGTTGGGTGGGCCAAAGACGTAAATAAAGGGCCTTACCTCCAAATATAAAAAGAGAAACCCAAAGAATCAACATCTCAGGAGTCATGTTATGAAATTAAGCTTTTATCTGTGTTTACCCAGAACGACCAGTTTTCACTCTGGAGTTTGGATCCAGATAAACCTTCAGAGTTTACAAAATGTGTTATTGTATAGAAGAGATTCAAATCACAAATATAAATGATGCAGTAATTTTTTTTCCACTGGTTACAACTGTGTACAGATGTCTGTTTTGATTGTAGAGCTGAATATTTGAGTTTTTTGTAGGGATGCTCGATTTTTGGCCGATAACCGATACCGATATATTTTTCTCCTAGACCTACTTTTTTTTCCCATTCAACCTTTATTTATACTGGTTAGTTCCCATTGAGCCTTGAGGACTCATTTACAAGAGAGACCTGTTACTCACAGAGACTACATTGTTGTCTCTGCTGTGGAATTAAAATACATTATTCTCCACAATCTTTGTCAGTTTGGGCCATTACCAAATGCAGATGCCAAAAAGGGGCTGAAAATGATGTGACACTTTATAAATATACAATATATTTAAAAAAAACAGCGCCTTTTATATCAGTGTTATTTTGATGGAATGTCCGATATTTAACTTTATCGTTAATATCGGACGATACCGATAATATCGTGCATATAGTTTTTTGTTCCGTGTGCAGATTTTCCTGAGTTTACTTACTTTTTGCGATAATTTATCAACCGTTTACTAAATTTAGAGAAATTTTGCTGCCTTCAATAACATTTAGCTACTTTTAGCTACCCTTTTAGTCATCTCTGTGCAACATTTTCTCAATCTTTTGCTGCTTTTAACTAAACTTTTCACACTTATTTTACCTTTTGTTACTTTTAGACAGTATTTTCGAAACGTTACTCCCCTCCGTTTCCCCTCCGAGTGTTTCGCGCCAGCCACTTCTACGTCTCAGAAACTGGAAAATCTTCAGTGCGAGTCAGAAGCATCCAGAGAATGCAGAGAAGATACCAGCCACACGTTCTTCACGTTCCGGGGTGAGATCAAATATTCAGGATCCTGCAGCGTCTTTGTCGCCTTTTTTTTTTTATTTTTAGACGTATCGGTCACAGAATATTTTGGGAGTTTTGCATCAGCAGACCGACGCCTCCGAACGTCCACGGTGCGTCTCAGCTGTTGAGAACATCACATCTCCATGCAAATTTATTCGGCGACCAGCTGCTGCAAGGAGATGATTCGGCAAAAGACACCCTTGAAACGTGTAATGAGCTCACCGTTGTGCATAACGGCGACCGTGAGGTCACAGGCGTCGAGATGTGTGCGTGCGTTTATGTGGCTCGACATTTGGTGCGTGAGGACGCCCGGCAGGAGGCCGGCGAGCGTTAACGTGTCCTGTCAGGTGCAACACACACACACACACTGATCCAGGTCAACAATCTGTTGTATTTTGTGAACAGGTTACAGAGTCCGCCAGCACAACTGTCACTAGTAGCTTTGACCGTACTCCCTTCAGATCTTCTGCGTACTGAAGCCCATTAGTGCTCAGGACAGACGAGCAGTGAAGGTCATGAATTGTCCTTTTTCTTATTTGAAGGCAGACTTTATATCTGTTAGCAGGAGTCGTGTGTCATGTTGAACGCCCTTTAACATAATTAAAGCTACAAACTGTGAAATCTATATTTATAGTTTCCTCTTGGATCCACTCACAGGAGCACAGCCCAGTTCCCATAGACTCCCACTGTTTCTCCTAACGTTCTCCTCAAAGATAAGACGTTTAGACATTTTAACTTGTATTTCCTACACAAAACGCTTGAAACAAAGAAAACTGCACCGAATGCTTCCGCCATACTTGAACTCCTCGGGGTTTTGTTCACAAGTGAGGGAAGAATGGAGCGTGCGATTGACAGACTGGTGTAGTGTCTGCAGTATTGTGGACTCTGTGCCAGTCCGTTGTGGTGAAGAGGGAGCTGAGCTTTAAGGCAAAGCTCTCCGTTTACCGGTCGGTCTCCGTTCCTACCCTAACCTATTATGAACTCTGGGTAGTGACTGAAAGGATGAGATGGTGGATACAGGCGGTTGAAGTGAGTTTCCTCCGCAGGGCAGCTGGACTCTCCCTCAGAGATGGGCTGAGAAGTTCAGTTATCAGGAGACTCAGAGTAGAACTGCTGCTCCTCCACATTGAGGAGCCAGTTGAGGTGGTTTGGTCATGTCCGACTGGGAGGAGGCGCTGGTCATTCCTAAATGACTTTTGACCTTTATGGAATAACGTGCATCGTTTTCCAGCCTCAGACGCCGGACATTATTTCCTCAACATCTTAGAACTGGTCTTGTGGTCTAAACGTGTTGAGGCGGTCCATCATGTTAAACTGGATCTTTAAACGAAGCGTCTCCGTGTTCCAGTTTTATCTTGTGTGGTTTTATTTCTTTCCATCTCCCACAGCTCGTCGCAGCTCCAGGAACGAGGATAACTTTGTTTCTTTCTGGATAAATTGGCTTCTGTGGAGCGTAAACCCACAGCAGGACCAGTAATGGTCGCTGTAAGCACTGGGCAGACAACAGAAGCCGGGGGGCTCAAACTAAACGGATTGTTGGGTCTTAGGTGGGGGAGGGAAGAACCTCCTTCAAGAACAGAAAGGAGGCTCATAAGTCAGGACACTGAAACCTGCAGGGTTGCAAACCGTCGGTTAGAAGCTGAAAGTGTTGGTTTGCAGGAAGTCACGCCTGGAGGAGGGACGGGACGTAAAGTAGTCCCTCTTCTTTACTTCGGCTCTTTCAGCCACTCCTGAGGGAGTTATTAGCCTTTATGTGCCGCTCTTTAGAGCTCAGCAGGCCGTTAACCGGAGCGGTCACAAAGAACCAAAGCAGCCGAAGTCCACGAGCCGTAAAACTAAAAGATTAACCCGAGGAAAGACCGAGCTGACCAACGTAGCATCTTTGACCTTTTTTGTTTACGGGGAAATGTTGAGGAACGACTTTATGCTCCTAAAAATGACTTTTTTAAACTAGAGAAGCTGAATTTCCTGTGAATGCTGAACGACTTGAAGCTGTACGAGCTAAAAGGAGCAAAACAGAAGCTAAAACTAACAGAAGCAAATATGCAAGCTAACAGGAGCCAGAAAAAGTAGCAAAACATTAGCTGAGTAAAATTACTGATAAAAGCTAAAATTAAAGACTAGCTAAAAGTGAATGTTAGCAAAATGTTAGTTAAAAGCCAAAAGGAGCAAAAAGCTACCTGAAAGTAACAAATGCTAACTAGAAGCTAAAAGTAGCTAATGGCTAACTAAAAAACAAAAGCAGGAAAATGCAAGCTAAAATTAACAAAATGGCTAACTAAAAGCTAAAAGTACCAGAAACATAAGTTAAAGTAACGTGTGGCTAATTGTCAAAAATAAAAAAAATGAAAAGTAGCTAAATGGAGGACAGAGGCTAAAACAGAAAGATTTGTTCAGGTAAAAATAGCTAAATGTCAGCTGAAAGCAGCAGTGTTTGTAAAAAAAGAAGAGTAGCAAAAGGTTAGCTCAAAGCCAAAAGTAATAAATGCAAGCTAAAAGCTTACAGAAGCAAATATGCAAGCTAAAAGGAGCAAAAGTATTGATAAAAATAGCAAAATGATAACTAGAAGTTAGAAGTAGCAAAACATTAGCTGAAAAGCAGTAAAATTACTGATAAAAGCTAAAAAGAAAGTCTAGCTAAAAGTAAATGTTAACAAAATGTTAGTTAAAGCAGCAAAATGTTTGCTAAAAGCCAAAAGAAGCTAAAGGTTAGCTGAAAATAACAAAGGCTACCTAGAAACTAAAAGTAGCTAATGGCTAACTAAAACTCAAAAATGTGAGCTAAAATTAACAAACAGCTAATTAAAAGCTAAATGTAACAGAAACCTAAGTTAAAGTAGCATGTGGCTAATTGTCAACAATAACAAAATAAAACTGAAAAGTAGCTAAATGGAGGATAGAGGCTAAAAACAGACAGACTAGTTCAGTTAAAAGTAGCAAAATGCCAGCCGAAAGCAGCAGTGTTTATAAAAAACAAAAAAGTAGCAAAAGGTTAGCTAAAAGCCAAAAGTAATTAAAAAAATGCTAAAAGCAGTAAACACTGACTGAGGATAACACAAGTTTAAAACCTAAATATAGTTAAAAAAAAAAAAAACTAACTAGTGGATAGAAGCAAAATTAGGCAAGGGAGTAGCTAAAAGCTATAAATGGCAGAAGGCTAAGTCTTGCCAGAAATATTAGCTGAAAACTAAAAGCATAAAAGCAAAAAGTAACAAAACACAAGCTAAAAGCAGCAAACACTGGGGGAGGATAACAAGCTTAAAACATAAATATAGCTAAAAGCTAAAAGAAGCTTAAAGGTAGCTAGAAGCTAAATTAGGCAAGGGGCTAGCTGAAAACTAAAAAGTAGCGCAAGACAAAAACAGAGCAAGCAGCTGAAGTTTTGAAGACTGAATATTTCTGTGGAGAAAATATTTGTAAAATAAAAAAGTGTAAAAGTTACAAAAAGCAAAAAAGTCACAGCGTCGATGTGAACGAGACGAACGTTTCCAACGAATCAGCGCTCACAAATTTAATCTCCAAACCGGAAACACGATTTTGTCTCCTAAATAAATCAATAAATCAAAGATAAAGTTTAATTTTCTGTACAGAGCGTAGATTTATTATTAGGTCTGTAGATTTACAAAAATGTACAATTTGCATCAACACTTAATTAAATTTAAGCAACCGAAACTTCACGGCTGTGCTCGTTACGGGGAAAAAAACGTCTTCATTCACGGTAAAGAACCTAAATCTAATCTGTAATCTGCAACACTGCCTCGTACGTCACAGTTTTAGTAAATAAAATGAAAAATCTCCGCCGTCTGGCACCCGTACAGCGTTCAGTAAATATTGCGGGGAGTCAAAACGTCCAGCGGGGAGCGCGAGCCGCTGCAGGAGCTTTTCACCGACGTCTCGACAAACGAGGCGTAAAAACGAGTCTGTGTCCAACCTCAAGCCGTGCAGAGCGGAGGTGGAGACGAGCTACCGTCAGTCCAGCTGCTGGAGCGCAGCTGCAACCGCCAACACTGCTGCGGTGTTTGGAGCGAACCCGCCGCCGAGCGAGCCTCCTCCGGCGGAGCTCACCTCCTCCGGCTCCGCCCGTGCCTGGCGGCCTTCTTCCTCTTCAGGATCATCTCGTAGAGTTTCTCCAGCCCCGCCTGCAGCCCCCGCCCGTCCACGGCGCTGCAGCCCTGCGCGTGGTGCAGCGTGTACGTGCTCAGCTCGTGCGCCGACAGCAGCTTCTCCACCTCGCCGACGGACAGCGCCGAGTCCAGGTCCTGCTTGTTGGCCAGCACCAGCACGGGCACCCCCTGGTTCTCGGAGGTGCGGGTGATCTTGTGGAGCTCCACCTTGGCCTCCTCCACGCGCTCCTGCTCCGTGGAGTCCACCACGAACACGATGCCGTCCGTGCGCCGGGTGTAGGACTTCCAGAGGGGGCGCAGCTTCTCCTGCCCGCCCACGTCCCACACCTGGAAGGTGACGGCCCGGGACGCCCCCACACAGACCCGGATCTTCTCCGTGTTGAAGCCCTTGGTGGGGATGGTCTTCACAAACTCCTTGAGCTTCAGCCGGTAGAGCAGAGACGTCTTGCCGGCCGAGTCCAGGCCGATCACCACCACGTGCACGCACTGGAAGCCCGGCAGGAAGGGCGTGCTGGGAGCCATGTCCGTCAGCTGGTTCCCCATGGTCCCGAACAGAAGCTCCGACAGATTCCTGGTTCAACGGATCCTCAGACTGGATCAGGTGGAGCTGGAGACCTGATCAGAAACACAGAGAAGCTAAAGTTAACGGCCGAAGACGAGACGGAGCTCCCGTCGTGTTGGTCCAGTGTCCTGAGCTGAAACTTTCGTTTCGTTTCTTCAAATCCAGCGACTTCTGCAAACTCTGTGTCATTTCAGCCATGTGCATGAAAACCTTCGGCTGCTAGGACTCCTGCTCTTTGTTGACAATTCCAGTCCAGCGCCGTTCAGCTGTTCGTTTTACAACTTTAAATCTGACTTGATTTAAAATTGAACCGGCCCAGTTGAATGGTTCAGTGCCGATCTTTTGCGATACTTTTAGGTAACATTTACATCCTTTAGCTTTCAGCTATTCTTTTAGCTACATTAAGCTTTAGCCTTTTGTAACTTTTAGTGAACTTTTGACAAACTTTGCAATTAGCTATATTTAGCTTTCAGCCAGTCTTTTGCTACATTTCATGAACAATTTGCAGCTTTTAGTTAACTTTTTGCTTTAAGCTGCTTTTAGCCAGCTTTCTGTCCCTTTTAGCTCATCTTTTGCTGTTTTGGGCGAAACCTCTGCTGGTGTTAATTTTTGCTACCTTAATCTGCCGAACTTTAATTACTTTTACCTTCTTTAGCCGCATGTTTCTACTTGTAGCAAACTTTAGTTTCACCTACTGTTTTAAGCAAACCTTTAGCTACTTTCAGCTGGTCTTTGGCTACATTTCCAGTTCCAGCAGTTACTCAGATTTTGTGTATTTTCTGCAGAACAAGCAGATTCGTCTCCTCTTCAGATGGATCCATCTGAAACAAGGACCCGGTTGTCGGAACCGAACCGCTGTTTTGGGTTTCTGCGGCTCCTCAGGCTGGACCTGAACCCGGAGCTTCAGGTTCTGCAGCGGCTCTGATCCGGTTCCTGATCCGCATCGAACATCTGCCTCCAGCCACAGAGACGGTTCTGGTTCCGACAGTTTTCAACCCGTTTCCTGAACGACGGTTCGGCCCGTTTGATCCGAGCCGAACGAGGAACGAATGAAGAAACTTCAATCTTTTCAAATCGGTTTAAATCAACATTCACGCGTTAATGTGAACACGCCCGTTAATTTAAAGCTCGATTAAATAAAAGTCCGTACCTTTAAAAAATATGAACAAATAATCATCCACAGGCGATAAAAACAGCCATGACCGACGTTAGGCGGCGTCCTCCCCGGTTCTCCTCCGACTGAGGCTCTGAGGAGCGCGAGCCGACACCACCTTCAGCCCGGGTGACGTCACGTCCACCTGGAGGGGAGGGGGAGACGCTCCGCGCCCCCTGCCGGTAGAGCTGCGAACTGCACGGAACACCATGAAGCCAAACTACCTCTGTTAGCATAATATCTCGTGAACCACAGGGCGGATTTTTCTTTAATTTTCAGGAAGTGACCATTTAATGCACGGCTACAAGTGTTTAACTTTTGGTATCAGCAGGATTTAGGATGGCGGCCAAACCCAGCAGAAATGAAAAAGTAGAAAAATGGCTGCAACTCAATCACATTTGTAGATTTCGACCTGAAACTTGGTGTGGTAGTAGCCGAGACTGATCCCCACACATCTAGTCTGATTAATATAGAATGACTCTAGATCTTTCATTAAAGTTTTGCCATAAACTATCTGGAATCAACTTTACCTGTCTTGTTAGCAAAATATCTCATAAACCTCTGAATGGTTCTTAATGAAAACTTCTGGACATAATCATTAGATGTATATCTACAAATCTTTACCCATTGGAGCCAACCCAATTTAAGATGGCCATTACAACCAACTGATTTTACAAAACACCAAAAACTGGCTACAACTTGATTAGCTGTAGATTGAAAGATTGCGAGAAATATCAATTGTTTTAAGTTTTTTTTTTTTTTTGCGTTTCTTTTCAAAATATAAACAAAATTGACTAAAATGGACAATATTTAAATCTCTAACATTTTAAACAGCAGTGTTCAAAGTCCTGCAGTGAAGCTTTGGCGCCCCCTGGTGGACAATTTACTACAGAACAGCTGCAGCAGTTTCAATAGAAAGAGCAACTTTCAGCATTTCTTTTTAATAAATAAAATGTGCATGAAGACAAAATATTCACCTGTCCACACTTTTAAAAAAATGTGTTGCTGCTATAAAATTCAAAATAGCCTTTTTCCCCGCTAAATGGTGCAATGTCCTAATTTAAACGTGATATTCATGCGCCATTTTGAATAAAATGATGAGATTTTCCAACCTTTGCTTTCTGATTTTATTTAAGTTTATGTCAAACAACAATGGAATAACGTCAAACACAAGAAGTTTTAACATCAGTGTAATAAAGTGCAGGTTTTACACCAAATATCTTTAAAAATAAACTCAGATAAACATATTATTAGAGCTCATTGTCCACACAGAACCCTGAAACTGACTTATACAGTAAATATATTTGAAAGAAGCATAACTTTTAACACTGTAGTGATTATTTTAAGCTCTCGTTAAATGTATTAATCAATAACAGATTAAACCTATGAGAAATCAATAAGATTTAGATTAGATCAGTCCTGAACAGCTCAGGGTTGAATCTGTTTGTGACACAGACAGAGATTTTATAATCTCATTACAAATTAAAATAAATCAAAACAAGATTAACAATAAATCAACACAACAAAAAATAAATTAATTAACACAGAGTTTGGGATTAACAGTCCAAGAAGTAATTTAAACATTTGTTCATTTCACGATGATTTAACAGGAACGTCATGTTTTGAGCAGGATGTTTGGTTTTATACGCGTTTGGACAATTTAGATTATTTTTTAAATAACTCACTTTGGAATATGGGTCAGAAAAATGTTCATAATTCTGCCAGATTAGATTAGAAGTGAACGTTGTTTATCAGCTGAAAGAGCCACAAACCGACCCAAACGTTGCTTTTCTCACCAGGAGGGAAGACGTGGAGGGCGCTGTGCCGGGTCGAGGCCACGAGACGTCTTAAAACTCATCTCAAGTTACAAACCATTCGTCCCGTCTTTAATTTTTCTTATAATCTAGACCAACTGGAGGCCCGGGGGCCAAACCAGGACCACAGGTGAGCTCAGTTCGGCCCCAGTGGGTTCATTTTTTTAAAATAAAACTAGATTTTAAACCATAAAACAAAGTTAACGTCAGCTGGAAGTCCGACCCCTGAGCAGTTTAGTCCAACGGCCCTGATCTAGACGAATCGAACGCTCTCAAACTGGGATTAAACAAAACGAGACGAGACTACGAAGATTAACGAAGGAAAACAGCTGAGCCAAGAGCCGCGGCTCTGCTCGATTTATCAACGTGACAAAATGTGAAACCGCAAAGAATCTGAAGGAACTCCAGCATCTTCACAGACGAGCTTCCATCCATCCATCCATCCATCCATCCAGCGAACACTGCGTGAGACACCTGGACAGGTCCATCACAGGGACACAGAGACAAACAACCATTCTCTCACACAGTCAGTCTAACATGCATGTTTTTGGTTTGTGGGAGGAAACCGGTTTCCGGAGAAAACCCACGCAGCACGGAGAAAATAATCCAAACAACACCCAGAAGGCCCCCCAACCGGGGCCGGGATTTGAACCTGCAACCTTCTTGCTGAGAGGCAGCAGCTCTACCACCTGAGCCACCTCTGACTAACGTCTTTTTAGATAAATCAACACAAATCGTCAACGCATTTCAAACGACTTCACATTTAACAGAACACGGTTCATCTCTGCACAAACTGAGTTTTAACCCTCGGCTGCCTCCAGGCGACGCGGCCGGTTTTATTTATTTATTTATTTATTTTTTAAACGAGGCACGTTCTATTGGTCAACGCTAACTTTTTAAAATCTTCCTGCTGCTCCCTTCTTCAGGGGGTCGCCACAGCGAACTAGCTCGCACGAGGACTTCATAGTTGTTTTTTTACGCCGCATGTCCTTCATGGCACCACAGACCACCGAGCTACCACAGACCTCTGTGTGGAGCGGGTGGTGGGGGTTAAGAGCCTTGCTCAAGGGCCCAGAGTGGGGCAAATAAGGGTAGAGGCAGGTGCTTCACCTTTCCTACACACATTTTGATGTCAGTACGGGGAGTCGAACCGGCGACCTTCGCTAGCCTCTGCTCCACCACTCCCCCTACATGCTAACATAAGGGAGGGGACCTCAAGGACTAACCAAGGAACAGGTACTAAAGTGGATCCACACTGGTCCGTGTTGCTTCCTGGAGCAGGCGGTACTGCCAGCAGCTGAGAGTGAGGATGACGAGTCGTTTACCGGTAGTGATGAGGAAGATGAGGCCGTAGTGGCAGGAACAGAGGTGATCAGACGTCTCATTGGCCAGTTTGGGTTGGGAAAGGGGCGGAGCTTAATCTCCAGCGCCGCGCTCAAAATGTTCCCGCTTGTCTGCTGCTGCTTCATCAACTTTCCTAAGGTTTTTAGTACACCTGCTCGTGCGCGTGTTTTTTTTGTGGGTGCTTAAGATAAAAAATAAAGTTTAACCTCGAAACGACACCGGCCGAAACGTTTCGACGAGACAATTCGACTCGTTTGCGTTGAGTGATGGCCGCCGGCTGCGTGAGAGCAACACGTGGACGCGACACGTGACTTCTGATTAAACCTCGTGGAAAACCAACGGTTTGATTTGACGCAGTGGCGCACCGCTGCAGCTCGTAATTCATAAATAAAATTAAAAATGGATAAAATGCGTGTCGTTTTTTTGTTACAGCGCCGTGTAGGAAGTCTCCGCCGTTTGGATATTACGAGCGCAAAACGACTTTTCCCAAACGACGCGGAGGAGTCCGTCATAACAGAATGGTTTGCTTACGCTAAACGGTTGCGGGAAACGCGAGCACAGGTCAAAGGTCATGAAAGAAGGGGTCATCTCAGAGGATGTGGGATGGTCGAGTTGGCCCCGCAGTCGATGTAGGCGAAGGTGTCCCGCGTCAGCTGCTCCGTGTGGGCAAGATAGGAAATATTCATGGTCATCCTGGTGGACAAACAGAACAAAACACATTAAATTATTACATTTTGCTTTTATTTAAAATACTTTCTATCATAGCGCTCTTTACGTTTGAAAAAAGCATTTTGTGTGAGTTGTAAATTGTGTATATTGCAGACTTGGTGTCTGAGGTTCCTACCCCTGTGGACAAACTGAATTTGCTGATTTGTCAGTTGCTTAATTGTCAGTTCTCAGCCGAAGTAAGGAGTTCTTTCAGGAGGATTAATCCTCACAAAGCAACCGGCCCAGACAACATCCCCGGAAAAGTGTTGAAGGAATGTGCTGATCAGCTCTGTGAGGTGCTGGCAGACATCTTTAACACCTCACTTACCCTGGAGACAGTTCCCACCTGCCTGAAGACTGCCACCATCATCCCAGTCCCAAAAAGCTCTACAGTGACTGGTCTGAATGACTATCGGCCAGTGGCCCTCACCCCGATAGTCGCCAAATGCTTCGAAAAACTGGTCATGACTCACATCAAAACAACCATCAACATCAACGAGGACCCTCATCAGTACGCATACCGTGAGAACCGATCAACAGAGGATGCAATCTCCTCTGTGGTCCACACTGCGCTCAACCACCTGGAGCAGAAAAACTCTTACGTCCGTATGCTCTTTGTGGACTTCACATCCGCCTTCAACACCATGATCCCCCAAACCCTGATGGACAAACTACTCACACTAGGACTAAGCCCCTCCATCTGCAACTGGGTACTAGACTTCTTAACAAACAGACCACAGTTAGTGAGGATCCACAACTTCTCCTCCTCCACCATAACCCTCAGCACTGGCTCTCCTCAGGGATGTGTATTGAGCCCCCTCCTGGTCACTCTGCTCACGCATGATTGTGCAGCTACCCATCCAGGCTCATTGTAAAGTTTGCAGATGATACAGCGGTGGTGGGATGCATCACAAACAATGATGAGTCCAGCTACAGGTGGAACACCTGGAGAGCTGGTGCAAAGAGAATAACCTTCACATCAATGTGAAGAAGATGAAGGAGATGGTTGTGGACTTCAGAAGGAACAAAAACACCTACACCCCCCTGAACATAAGAGGATCTGCGGTGGAAGTAGTCTCCAGCTACAAGTACTTGGGTGTACACATGAATGACAACCTCAGCTGGAGCAACAACACCACCAGCCAGATCAAGAAAGCTCATCAGAGACTCTACTTCCTCAGACGGCTGAGGCGAGCTGGTCTGGAAGCTCAGTCCTCACCTCCTTCTACAGGTGTGCAGTGGAGAGCATCCTGTGCTCCAGCATCAACGTGTGGCATGGAGGCTGCACAGCTGCAGAAAGAAAAGCTTTGCAGAGAGTGGTGAAGTCTGCACAGAAGATGTTGGAGTCAGCCTCCCCACCATCACAGACATCTACACCTCCAGATGCAGGAAGAGAGCCACCTGCATCATGAAGGACCTCACTCACCCAGCACATACACTTTTTGCCCCACTCCCCTCAGGAAGGAGGTTAAGGAGCATTAAGTGTAGAACCACTAGACTGAGGAACAGCTTCTACCCTGAGGCTGTTAGACTCATGAATCTCTCAGAATAATCACATCATGTTGCTGCTGATCTGTTTCATGTTGCTGCTGATCTGTTTCATGTTGATGTGTTCATGCGTGCTCATCCACTCACAGACTCATGTTCATGTTTGTGCTGATGTTCAATGTTTTATGTTATGAGTGCTTAGAGTATATTTAGCTGATGTTTTTCTTAGTTCATATCTTAGATGTTATTACTGTTTTTCTTTTACATTTTATTGTTGGATGTAACTGGGACCCTGTGTACATAATTTCATTCCACCACATGTACCACATGAGGTGGAATGACGTGGAAGTGTATTAAGTGCAGGATCATTTCTCGGTTAATGAGTAGATCCCACGCCGGGGTCAGCTGAGCCTCGTCATCCTCCTCCCTGCTCCGCACTAATTCACATCATTGTTCAGAAAAGCGCAGGAACTTATGCACGGTGCAAAACTTTAATTAAATGTGTGTTTTTTTAATAAAATTGCCCACGACTTTGAACTTTTAGGGGCGTGGTTTTTTTTTTTTTTTTTTTTTTAAGAGCAGAAGCAGAAAGGAACAGCTCTGATGTGATATTCGGAAGCTTCGTTTAAAATTACAGTTTTATTTAGTTAATAGTTTTACAGTCACTCTTTGTCGGGCGGGTTGAAAAATATGCAGTGATCCTTCAAATGCGTGCGCCTCCTCCTGTCTGCTCCAGAGCACTGACCCACGGCCCGGTGGTTGGAGAAAAAAAACAAAACACAGTATTACATGGCACAACGGCATGCCATACTACTCGAATGCCATCAAGCAGCTGAAAATGGTCATGTTCAATATTTTCAGTCAGAATGAATAACAACGGTCATATCTCAGCCAAACATTGGTTTATAAATATGGAGAAAAAAAAACATAAATAAGTGGCAGGGCTGTAAATTATGCAAAAAATGCGACTTATAGGCCAAAAAATACGGTAAGTTTCTTTCGGCTGCTCCCTTCTTCAGAGGTCGCCACAGCGAGTGAAAGATTTGCCAGTTGTTTTACGCCGAACGCCCTTCCTGAAGCAACCTGGGTTTGAACCTGCAACCTCAGGATCACAAGACGGCAGCACTGACCACCAAGCTACCGCAGCATGTATTCAGTAATATAACTTAATTTAATAGTTTTAGTTTGCGCACGCTTGTCAATAAGCTCTAATCTGAAGCATAAACCTTCACGTAGAAATCATTCAGAACGGAGTATTTGTGGCTTTAAGGCACTTTCGCTGCCTCTCCATGAAGCTGAGCCAGGAAATCACAGCTGCCCCGAAGCAGAAGTGACTCTTTAAGGCTCAACTCAAAACAGAAAGAAAAGCTCCGCTGGTGATTCTGTGGACTCCCGTCTTGCGTCATCTGAAAAGAGAATATCTCCGTGGCTGTGGTTTGTAATCTGCCTTCAACGCTGCGGCTCAGAGTTTCTTCGAGAACTTTTGACACTTACTGCAGCTGCAGGAACAACGTGTGAATCTTGATGCTGCCCGATTTGCAGTAGTTGCTGAAAGACATTCGAAAAATAAAAAAAAGGAACAATCGTCAGAGACTTCGCTCGATATCTCTAATGAAAATGACGTCTGCTTCTTACTTTAAGTCTTTGTCTTGGATCTGCAGGTGGATTTCTGTGGTGTACTGCAAACGGATTTACAGGTGAGAACTGCGTCATGTGATACGAACATATTGCGACTGCGGGTGAAACTCACCGAGCGTCGCGATCGGGACGGTATGGTGGTCATGTTGCTCACCTTCACGTTACCCATCACCGTTTTGATAATGAGGCCCTGCATGGCGAAGTCCGTAATCTGAACCGGGACAAAGTTCTCGTTGCTCATGTTGATGAGGTTCTAAAAACGGAGAACAAGCAAACAGTCGTTTCCTCCTCGTTAAAAGAGTCACGGGGCACTTGGATCACGTGAAAGCCCTTCACAGGTCGTTGCACTCAAATCTAAAACCGTGTAAAACGAGTTGCGCAACAGAGGGTTAAATATTGTCGTGAAGCGACGACAACTGTTGCAGCGACTCAACGAGGTCGCCTCAACACAATGCGATGACTTTTTTTCCCCGACACCGAAACTGGAGCAGATTTACGGCTGAGGTCGTGGTGGGCACGGACATCCCATGAAACATTAACTTCATGGGATGAAACACGGCACCGTGGAGATGTAGGAGAGGAATGACGATGCAACGAACCATTTCATTGGTTTTAAAGACAAGAACTTGGCGCCGGAGTTTGAACTGATTCTAGAATGTATTTTTTTTTTTTATAACTTGATAAGGCCGAGGCTTAACTTCCTGTTAGTGAAGTGCTTTAACGCCCTGACTTGATCTAAATGTTTTGGCTCATTTTATTGTTTTGACGCCGCCTTGTCTAATTTGTATCCATTTGCTTTGAGCTCTGTTGGAAACGTGAGACGATTATGATCGAATGCAGCTCATTGGCATTTGTAAGCATTCGCAATGTGGGGGGCGGGGGGGGGGGGGACACACCGGTGGGTGGGCGGTCTCGGGGTTCTCCCCGAGAAAATGTTGGACAAAGTAGACGCCATTTCCTGTATTCTGGTGTATTTGAACAGGTTTCTAAACATCTATGTTTATTTACATAAGTAACCACTTGATTCAGTAACTATTGTAGAGAGCATGGCACAAACCCCGCCCACCAACACCGGTAGACAACTGCTAGCATAGTGCTAAGCTAGCATAGTGCTAAGCTAACATAGTGCAATACAGACATGCTAGCTAAGATCCTACAGACATCACGCTCATCTTCTCTCATGCACCCTAATCCCCCAGACCTCCCGTAAACAACTGCCACACTAATGTAGCGCTAAGCTAGCATAGTGCTAAGCTAGCATAGTGCTAAGCTAGCATAGTGCTAAGCTAGCATAGTGCTAAGCTAGCATAGTGCTAAGCTAGCATAGTGCTAAGGTAGCGGCGTGCAATACAGACATGCTAGCTAAGATCCTACAGACATCACGCTCAGCTTCTCTCATGCACCCTAATCCCCCAGACCTCTCGTAAACAACTGCCACACTAACGTAGCGCTAAGCTAGCATAGTGCTAAGCTAGCATAGTGCTAAGCTAGCAGCGTGCAATACAGACATGCTAGCTAAGATCCTACAGACATCACGCTCATCTTCTCTCATGCACCCTAATCCCCCAGACCTCCCGTCAACAACTGCCCACACTAACGTAACACAGATGTGTCTAACATTGAGCTTCTGGATTGACCTTCTCAAAGTTCTGACCTCTTGAGTCGAGAACCCAACCAGTTTAAATCAACTCTACCAGTTCTGTCCAGAAGAAGATGAGTCAAAAAACCAGTCAGAAACTTTCCAGAAGAACAACGGTCCAGGTGCAACCTGCTGAGGGGCGGTGTAGATATCTACGTTTTCAAACGAACACTCAACACTCCTCTGTTCAGTCTGGCTTTTAGGAAGATTAATTTTTCACAAATGTATATTTCAAGTCTTAAATCTGCCGGTTCGGAGGACGGGCCAGCGCAGCTCTCTTACCAGAAAATGGTGAGAGTCGCATCAGGAAGTGGATCTGACAAAACATATTAAATTGTTCCTCGATGTGAGTGAGAGTGAATTGTTCATTATGTGTCCCTGTGATGGACTGGAGACCTGTCCAGGCTGTCCCCCGTCTCAGGCACAGAGACTGATGGAGACAAACCCCAGCTTCCTGTGACCTGGAAAGGACAAGCGGTAAAGATGGAGGACAGGTGTGGATGCTTCACCTTTCCCACTCACATTTGGATGCTGTTGGTACGGGGAGTTGAACCAGTGGCCTTCTGATTCTCTAAACTCTGCACCACCACTCCCTTTCTACAACTCGTTGATGTTTATTTGTTGCTCTGTTTTATTTGTTTCAATCTGACGTAAAGCACTTTGTGCACGGACGGTGCTTTAGAAATAAAGTTTGTTCGTGTAGATTAATAAAAATAAATTCAAACGTGTGCACCCAAAAAACCGTGATTCCACCGTGCAGAAACAATTCAAATAAGCCCGTAAGCTCATGACGAGTGGCGGTAAACGCCACGCTACTTACCTTGACGTCCAGCTCGACCTGGTCGGGGCTGAAATAAACCATGACGGACAGCACGGACACGGGCGTGAGCGTGACGCTCCGAGGGAACAGGAAGTACAGGATCAGGCAGCAGACGAAGAGGCACGCAGCCATGGAGACGCACACGTACAGCTTCCTGAAAGGCACAAGCGCAGCTGTTAGAACCGGCCGGCTGACGTGCACGTTCGATTCCGCTCCGAACCCTTACGTGCGTCGGGGCTTCAGCCTCACGTCGTTGCACGGTATTACAGCAACGAGCTGGTTCTCCTGGGCTGCCAAGACAAAAACAAGGAAGTTTTATTTTGACCACGAAACTGAGGCGAGCGCACTTTAATGTTCGACTCGCTTCCTCCGCTGCTGCCGAGCAGGAACTAAAGGTCAAACGAAGGTGAGGAATCCAGCAGAAGAGAACATTTAAAATCAGACTCCACGAAACCAGACCGACCTCGGGGAACGCGCCCCGTGCCTCGACACGTAGGGCAGGTGTCGCTCGCCGAGCTGCCGTCGCTGCTCCCGTACGGAGGGAAGTGCTTGAATATCCTGCCGTTCTCCATCTTTCTGGTGAGCTCAGGATCCTCTGCGGCTCTGCCGGTTCTCTCCGGTGGATCCATGTCGCCTCGCTGCAAGACAAAGTCCAGCTTGAATGGAAAAACACAGCAACAGCTGCGTCGGGGCCGACTCTCGTCAGCGTTGCACTGAAGGGATTCTCACAGAAGCTCAATAAAAGCTCATCCCCGCAGCACATGAGCAGAGTCCAAAGTGTTGAAAAATGAGAAGAAACACACCCCGACGGGTTGTTTTTATGGTTCTCCCACTACATTAAGATGAACATGACACAAGCGCATGATGGAGATCAGGCTCAGCTACTACCACGCCAAATTTTCTCTCAACATCTGTAAAAACGACTGACTTGTGGTCATTTTTGTGTTTTTTAAGGTCAGTGGGCGGTGGCAGCCATCTTGAATTGGGTCGACTCAAACAGCTTCTTATTAATTCCTGAAAGGTTCATTATAGTTCGTCCAGGAACAAGAGTAAAAACTACATTTAATAGATACAATGATAAAAAAGACTCCAAGGAGCAATTCTCATTTGATGGACTAGAGTGACGCACAAGACAAGGCACACGTGAATGTTTTAATGTAATTACTGTCAGTATTTCTAACAATAAAAACACTTTATAGTTTTTCAATTTGGACTCCATCCCTGAAGTATCTGAGGAGCTCAACAGGTTTGTTGGGTTGTGATGCACAAAACAACAAAAACTAACCAAGCGGCTGCTTTTTCCCATAAAACTTGGCTTTTTAAAAATAAAAATAGTTGCAAGGTGTAAAACTGGAAATTAAAACTGAATGCCGGACAGTTTCATATTTTTATATATATATATATATAAAAAATGAAGAATATGACGTCATTTAACTTTTATTACCAGGATGGAGCTTTTTTTTTTAATATATATAAATATAAAGTCATAATTTTTTGTACTATTTATAGATATTTTATATAATTTATTACAGTTTTATTAAACTTCTGCAATAAACGTGTATTTAAGAACACAATTTCTGCTTTACAACTTTTACTTTCAAATAAGTTTATTTTTACACTAAACAATGACTGATCTAAAACATAATAATCCAGCAGATTTTCCTTTCATGGCGCTTTAATTTGTTCAAACTGATTTATTATTTAATAATGTCTAAAGTTTAAATGATCCTTCCTTTATAATAAATAAATGTGAAAGGTTGGAGCTCGTCAGTAAAAATGGCTCCTCGTGTCTGGACTCAGCTGACAGCACAGATTATTTCTTCTCTTACCTTCACTCCAGTGGAGATTTAATCCCAGCTCTGGACGTAAACCCGCTTCTTTAAGGTTTGATTTTATAAAAGCAGCATGGAGAAAGTTTAATCTGCTGCGTCGAAGCTTCTGAGGAACATCAAACACTTCCGCCTAGGTCAGTTCCTACAACTCATCGTCACGTGCGCTCGTCTTTTGAACTTTTTTTTTTTTTTTACCTTTTCTGTTTATTTAGAATTAGCCGAAACAAAATATACTACAAGTTTTTTTTTTTTCAAAGTAAGTTTACCGGATTTATAAATAATTAATGTAAAAGCAGGAATTTATAAAAATAAATTAAAAAATATTTTCTCAATTTCGGGTTTTTGCCGCCACCTTGCGGTCAAATTTAGAACTACACGCAAAGCTCAAAGTCCATGTAGTTGTTTATCAGTTTGTTAATTTATATGTTTGCATAGTACACACAATAATAATAGTATTAGTAGAATTAAGAATTTTAGTAATAGTAAATATATTGGTAGTAATAGTACAAGTATTGAAGGAAAATTGTTTCCACTAATCAAACATGCATTCGAGCTGTGGCGTTTAAGTAATTACAGAACATAGTTCATCTAATTCGCATTGGACAAGTTTGATAAGTTGACTTTTAAAAATAAAAATTACACGACGTATTAAAAACTTTAAACTTGTGTAAAAAGTTCCAAAACGTCGGCTGCTTTTCTCCATTTCACCAGTTTCACAAAACATTGCGATCAGGGGGCTTTCCAATTATTCTTTTATTACATTTAAACAGAACGAGTTAAATACGTTAGTGTATAATGCTTTTTATCTGAATTAAAAAATTAAAAAAAAGAGGGGACGAGCAAATGTGCAAATAGTTTATTAGCAGATTGGGAGAACTGAATTGAAAGGGTACACTCTGTAGCAGAATAATTTGATAAGATACATCATATTCAGAATTATCCACAGAGTTTAGTTTGAAAACAAATGGAAATCCTCAACCACGCATGAACATACACCCAATCTCACAACACGATTTACACGATTTAAAGATAATCTCTCACAGATGTGACGCTTTAAAATAAAATGACTTGGTTCCACAGTGAGGAGGAGGAGGAATGTGTTTCAGGAGGCGTCCGAGCTTTAACGAGAAGACTCGGTGGCTTCATGAGACGCAGCCGAGCAGGATGATAAAAGACGCAGATTTGTATTTAAGTCGTTTCTGCAGCCTCTACCCGTCACGAATCAAAAGCATCAAAACAAAAGCACATCTGAGTGAGCGATCCGTTCGGACCGTTTGGTTTACATTCCACATGTCAACGTCTAAAATAACAGTACTCTGATACAGAAATAGATTGCATTGTTAGGCAAATTTCACTACAATAATTAAGAGGAAAAAAAAAGTCTTAAATATCTGCTCTTCGACCCTGCACACCCTGGAGATCCATGCACCTTCAGCATCGTGGCTGCGCACGAGAAACCTTTTCCTTCGCAGGGCGCTCGAGAACTTTCCCCTTCGTAAACGCGTCGGGAGCGCAGCGGAGGAAGCGGCGGACGCACGGATGAAGGCGCGCCTTCGTCTCGCTCTGTGGCCGACGACGACAAGGCGAGGTGGCGCTGAACCACCGTCCAGAAAAAATTTTTAAAAAAATCTAAAACGCGCGGAATCTAAAGTTCATTCGAACGAGGTGGTAAAGCGAACGTAAAGGCAAGAAGAGCCACTTCATTGGAACTTCCCAAGAGATTAGTGCTGCTTTTCTAATTTTCTTCCATGTTTTTTTTTGATTGCGTTGTAGTGTTAAACTAAAAAAGATTCACAAGTCGAACTCTACGGTTATTATTATGTTCAGATTAAGCTCTAAAGTTAAATTATCGCCATTCTGGGAGCCTCGGCGTCGTCTTCAGCGCAGCGGGTCGGCCGCTTCGTTCTGGCTCTCCTCGGCCATCTGCACCAGCTCGTTCACCGTGTGCAGCAGGCTGTAGTTGTGCTTCCTCAGCAGCTGCTGGTTGAGCCGCTGGTCCTTGAAGCCCATCTCCAGCAGCATGGCCATCATGGAAGGGTCCTGCCTGGCGGCGGGGTCGATGCCTCGCTGGGAAAAAAAACCCAAAGCGTTCAATTATTGTCACCGTGCTGCATTTAAAGCTCGTTTTATTTGACAAAAAACTGGGATGCTCTGATGGAAAATCACTGGTGGAGCTTCAAGTCAGTTGTCAGTTTTGTATAAAGTACCTCAAAGTGATACTTCAGTGCTTAAAGTATCTTACCATAAAATTACGTCTCCTTTAAAAATTATTACTTGAGTAAAAGTCTTAAAGTGTCTGACATTTAATGTAAATTTCTCATATAAAATGTACTTAAAGTAAGAGTATTAAGTAAAAGTGAATGGTTATAATTTGGGTGCAATATCCAGAGACAAAAACTTGGAAAGTTTGAACTGAATGAAAGATTGATCTTTAAAAAGTCCGATTCTACTGAAGTATTCAAACTTTATTAACGAAGCTGTTAGAAAGTTCACATTGTTGTGTTGGTTTGTTTTATTGAGCTCGGTTCTGTTTGCTCTTGAATGCACCGTGGCTGTTCCCACGCTAATGAACACACCGCTCTGCGTAACGTGCAGAGCTCAGTTGGAGTTTTTTTTTTTTTTCTCTCTCCTGACACAGATGGAGCTTTGTTGGTCAAGATTGTTTGCGCTTTACTAGTTTACTGCTGCGTGTAAATACCAGAAGAAACACAGTAAATAAACTGGATATCTGTCTCCGTGTTCTTTAATGGGAAGACTAGTGGCCCGACAACTTCATACCTTGTTGCTTTAACGAGTTAATGTCCTGGAGAACGCCAAACCTCTCCTTTCTAGTTGCCCAATCAGATTTCTTCTATGTAACTAAGATGGTTAAGGGAGATGTATCAGAGTAAAAGTACACATTTTATTGAGGAAATGTAGAGGAGTAAAAGCGAAAGTCGCTAGAAATGTAAATAATGAAGTAAAGATACGTCAAAATTCTACTTAAGTACTACTGATTGTTTTATTTGAAGTTATTAAACAGCATGGGATGAATTTACACTGTTATGCTGATGACACACAGTTATATTTGTCCATGAAATCAAATAAATCGAATCGGTTGCTTAGACTACAAGCATGTCTTAAAAGACATAAAACATGGATGACCCTTAATTTTCTGCTTTTAAACTCTAAATTGGCGCTAAATAAATAAACTGAACTGAACTTAATCTACAGACATTATGTTTCTGCTGTGAGCAGTGAGAGTTAAGATGTGACAATAACCAGAAAGACGCTGTGAAGAACTTCAGAACTGGGGAAAAAAAAAAATTCTTAGATAACCAACGTGCATAAACAAGATGTCACGTGATTTTAGCTACTAATCTGTTGCCAAACTGACGGATGTGTTCGTGCAAATGATCAAACCCTCAAAGCGAAAAAGGGGAAGTTAACACGATCTTTCCATTCTTGAGGGAACAAAATGACGGGACCTGTTCTGCAAAGCGCTTGATGAAACATTCCTCGTGAAGTTACTTTGTCAGAGTAGGCGTTACACAATCGGCTCATGTCTGGGGGGGGTCCACGTGTATTTAAATATGCTTCGCTGCTGCGTGCTGTACCTGTATGGAACAGTTTGGTCCCGTGAAGAGAGCCTTGTAAGCAGATGCGGCCACTGAAAGGGCGCCCTTGACGAACCCCTCTGTGATGCCTCCTTGGCCCCTGTTGCAAACACAGCCACACTCCCTGGTTATTCCATTAGCTCTTTACTCATCAGATTATGTACAGGACGTTAAAAAGATACTACAGTCGAGAAAAGGTCTCGACTGAAGCGAAGCATGAAAGGTTTTTGCCGTTTTGGCACCTTGGCTGCAGCGCTTTGCTCGGTCTAGGATTGTAGGTCTCAAAGGCACTGGATGCTGAGCCCGCTGATCTCGACAAACCAGATGACACTGCAGAGCAGATTAAATAAAAACAGATCAGATGAAGAAGAAGGCTTTTCGCTGAAGCAACAAAAAGCCTGTGTGGCATCTCAGTTCTTCTTAAACGACCTGATTTTACACGGAGGAACACGACGGCGCACGTTGTGGTCAGAGTGGCTTTTCTTACGGTTACACTCACAGTTTAGGTGAACCCGCGGTTGGTGCGGCTCGTACGGATCGCAGGCAGGAGGACTGGGATCCTCGGCCAGATACAGGGCCTCAGACCTGAAACGCAAAAACGTTCAACCATGAAAAACTGAACCGATGAACGTTTAAAACGACAAACCTCTCTGGATTCGTCTCCGGCTAACCTGGGCGAGTAGAGGGTCGGCGGCGGATGCAGGGCTTGAGGTACGACGGGCAGGGACACCACCTGGGGGGTGAGCGTCACGGCGTCGAGAGTCTGGGACGCACACAACATCTGGGTCACGCTGCTGTGGATGGGAGAGACTTGCGGAGGCCAAGTGTTGTCCAACGACTCCTCCACCGCGATCATCTCCTCCTTCCTCTCCGTCAGCGGAGCCTCCCTGCACGGCTCAACGTCACAGCCCTCCTCTTTCTCCGTGTCTGGATCGGTGGAGGTCCCGGCAGCGACGGTGTCGGGCTGCGACACGGCCGAGCTGTACATGGACTCCCCCAGAGGTCGGCTGGTGTCAAAGCAGTCAGGGAGGACGATGATGTATTCATCGCTGGAGGAGGCCGAGGACGTCTGGCTGCTGACCTGAGACAGGACAAGAAGACGGAGACATTTACGGACTTCATTTCATGAACGTGCTGGCAGATGCCGAGTCAGCATTCACACTATTGTTTTGCAGTTTAAAGTTCCCATCCATCCATTTATCTTCCACTTGTTCTAAAGTCAGGTCTCGGGGGCAGCATCTTGATCAGGGAGGTCCAGACATCTCTTTCCAGCTCTCTAAGGGAGAGTCCAGCTACCCTGCGGAGTAGCTAAGTACCATATTTTCCGCCGTACACGTCGCACCGCTCTATAAGTCGCATCAGTCCGAATACGTCTAATAAAGTGGAAAAATCCATAAATACGTTGATTCGGCGTACAAGTCGCAGGGCATGCAAATTATAAACCCGCAACTTATAGGCCAAAAAAATACAGCAAAGTTTCTTCTGTATGTTTTTTTTTTTGCATCCCAACTACTTGAGCATACTTTTAGCTATTTCAGTCCTTCATTTATTAAAACAGTGATGGCCACCGGTGACCCCCGCGACCTGGAAAAGAAGAAGCGGGTAAAGATACTGGATGGATTTATTAAAAAGTTAAGCTTGCAACTCTTTATGAATCATGAACTTTACTTAGAATATTTTTCTCACAGAAATGCATTAACATCTCTTTAAATCCTAAAAAAAACAACCTTATATTCTTTTGATATTTACTTCAGAGTACAAGTTTTACTTTATACCTTTATCTAATTTTAGCTTTTGCTCCGTTTTATTCTGTTCTACTATCTAAAAGGAAATCAGCATTTTCAACAGTAAATTCAGAATTTAGTCTGAAATCCAAATGTATGGTATGAAATTAGCTTGTACACATTTATCAAATTAAATGTTATAACAGATAACGAGGTCACTCACTTCATCCCACTCTTCTCCCGTTCCTCCGTCCTCTTTCTGCTCAGTGTTTTTCACGGTTTGCAAAACTTCTTTGTCCTCGTTCTCGTGTTGCAAATGAAGGTCTTCTTCCTCTGCTTCCAACAAGATCAAGTCAGTGACACAAAAATAAACTTTAAGGACTATTTCAGAAAAATAGCCATAACTGAAATGTGACTGAACGGATCAGCAAGTTCTCTAACCTGGTCTCGTCTCATCCTCGTTCTGGGTGGTCCGGTTGAGGCTCGTGGTCACGGGCGGTGCTAAACTCTCCGCTCTATCGGCCACAAGCTCCTCGGTTTTCACTTTTTTCTTCTCCGTCTTCTCAACACAAAAGCTCGGCCCCCGAGAAACAACTGCAAATGGTTAATGAGCGGGAAATTATAAGTATTTTAGCCGCAAAAGGCGACTCCAGAAGCTTCTGTGGAACCTCACCCCGCGGTTTGTGGCTGCCGTGCTGGGCTCTTCGCAGGGGTCTGTGGTCGGGGGCTTCCTCCAAAGTGAGGGAGCGGATAACCGTCTCACAGAGGAACTGAGCTCCACTGATCTCCTCCTCCTTCTCCTCCTCCTGGGCTACAGACTCCAACACCTCCTGCAGCGCTGGTTTCAGTCCTTTGGGGAAAAAACAAACACTAATATCTCCGTCACTTCACGGGACTGTCAGAGCTGGAAAACTTAAGTTTTGACCTAATCTTAAAAGGGCTGATGATCTCCAATATTCATGCTTCGTAACTTTATTCTAAAACTTCTGAATATAACTCTTTGAAGCCGTTATGAGTGTGACCTGGAGGTGACAGATTGGGACCAGATCTGCAGCAGAGTTCCCCTAAATCTACTTCGATTTGTATACATGACCAAAACTTTAAACTTTTTAACTGTACGCACCTGTTCGCCTCCTGAAAATTTTCAGACGCCTCCGACCTTTGTTACAGGATACATAAATGTACATTTGTCCATTTGTTTTGGTCATGTGACTGCATCTAAGCCTTCTGGAAGGGGGTACATTCTGTAATCCAGGTGGACACTGATAAAACAGTTTTTTTTTTTTACCTTTATTTATACCGTTAGTCTCAATGAGTCACGAGGACTCATTTTCAAGAGAGACCTGTTTATGAAATTGACTAATTTATAAAATTGAACGCTTCTGCTTGCACCTTTTTCCTGTGCAAATGCGAGCAACTTTATTAAATTCAAAAGATTCAAAAATACTTTATTAATCCCAGAGGGAAATTAAGTGTTGTCGTAGCTCGTCATCCTGGTTTCATTCAAGAAAGCAGATTCCACTTCTCTTCGGTCTCTGTTTCTATGTTTGGAGGATTTGAAGGCATGGATGGCCCAAAATTTCTTGAAATTAAATGAAGACAAGACAGAGGTAGTGATTTTTGGCAGCTCGAATGAAGACTCTCTGCCTGTTGATTGCTCTTTGGCTCAGTATGTCAGGCCAGTTGTTACAAATTTAGGGGTCAAGATGGATGCTGGTCTTAGGATGGAGTCTCAAATTAAAACAGTTGTAAAGTCAGGCTTTTTTCATTTGAGGCAGCTGGCTAAAGTAAAACCAATTCTTCCCAGACAGCATTTTGAAACAGCAATCCATGCATTTGTGACCACACGGCTAGATTACTGCAATGCACTTTACATAGGTATTAGTGATTCATGTATTTCCCAGCTTCAGAGGGTTCAGAATGCAGCTGCACGACTTTTAACAGGTACACGGAAATTTGACAGTATTTCTCCTGTTTTGGCCTCTTTACATTGGTTGCCGGTGCATTACCGGATTCATTTTAAAATACTTTTATTTGTTTTTAAAGCTTTAAATGGCCATGCCCCTCCATACCTGTCTGAGCTGCTACATTCTTACACACCCTCTCGTTCACTCAGGTCAGCTGACCAGTTGTTTCTGAAGGTCCCGAAGACAAAGCGTAAGCTTAGAGGGGACCGAGCTTTTTCTGTGATAGCTCCCAGGCTCTGGAATGACCTTCCATTGAACATAAGACAGGCCTCTTCAATTGAGGTTTTTAAGTCCCTTCTTAAAACTCATCTTTTTTCTTTGGCCTTTTAGCACAATCTGAGATGTTTTACCTTGTTTTATTGTGTTTGTATTTTATTTTATTATTTTATTCCTGTTTTAAATTTTACCCTTCCATTTTATCATTGTATTGTATTATATAATTGTGTAAAGCACTTTGGTCCTGTTGGGTGCATAAAGTGCTCTATAAATAAAGTTGGTATGGTATGGTATGGTAAGAGTTGTTATAGATGCTGATAGTTAATAGCAGAAAGGATCTCCTGCAGCGAATCCAAAGAATCTGGCCACAGATCCACCCACTCAGATCCAGCTTGCTGTCAGATCCACCAGGCATCTTGGTCCTCCAGGGCAGCGGCACTGCCCGAATGCCGGGCAGAATTCCTCCCTGAGCGATGGTCACTCCTCCCAGCAGCCTACCGAGTTCCTCTTCACCACAGACAGACAGCTGAAGGTGCCGGGGGAAGATCCCGGTCCTCCTGTTGTCACAAGCCAAGTTTCCCACCAGTTCCAGGATCCCGGTGGTCAGGTACTCGAGCACCGCCGCCAGGTTGACGGGACTTTGTCCACGGCGCCTCCTTTTCAACTCATTTGGGATTTGGGGCTGTAGTTGAGGTATTTGAGCTTTTGAGATGTTAATCAGCCGCTCCTGGTACAAGTTAATGCTAGTAACCGTACAGGCTAACATTACCAATCCTAAAAGTTAATGCTAGCAACCCTGCAAGCTAACTCCAGCAACCCTACAAGCTAATGTTAGCAACCCTACAAGCTAATGCTAGCAACACTGCTAGCTAATGTTAGCAACCCTACAAGCTAATGCTAGCAACCCTACAAGCTAATGCTAGCAACCGTACAAGCTTGTACTCCGCTCCAGTTTCCTGGAAAATCTTGCAAAAAGATTTGAGGCTCTCGACCTTGACCTCTCTAGGTGGCTTTAAACATCTGTTGAGTTCCTGGCAAGAACCAATGCAGACATGTTTCTGTTTATAGTACTCTAGATCGCCTCGTAATCTAGCTGTTTTTTCACTACGTTTTTTTCTCCTTTTAATTATCATTCTGTTTTCAATTGTAAAACAACCCCTAACCTGTTTAAATAAAGGTTGAATGAATGAATGAACCCTACAAGCTAATGCTAGCAACCCTACTTTAACAAACTTAAGTCGATACTGAACTGAATTGTTACCTGAATACCTGAACTGTTTTCATTGTAGATGTACATCCAGCAATTACTTTCAAAAGAGTTTAGTCAAATCTTTCCACCGGTTTATGAGATATTTTGCTAACACTGCAGATGAACTTATTATCACCTCTCTCTTTTGGAAGCAGGTGATAAGGACATCTTAATGTAGCTATATTTCTCACCAAATGGTTTCCCAACTCCGTCTGTGTCCTCTTTTATCAGTGAAGTGATGGACTTGTCCAGCACAGGTGCATCATGAGGAAGAGGCGATATGCAGGGGGTCAAATCTAGACGTAGTGAAAAACAAACTCAGTACTCTGTGTCCTTACAAGTAAATTCATTTTTTTTACTTTATGCAGCTGAAAAGAAGTGTAAAAAAGTGAAGTGCAGCCACAAAGGTTCTGTGAGGGTTTGTGTATGAGAAGCCGCAAAATAAACAACAAAAAATGTCTGACATTTTAAATGAAATCAACTTTTTCAAGTTTAAGTTGTCATGTATGACTCACCAACAGGAGTGTTGTTGGGAACCTTTTCCAACTCTTGCACAATGTTTATGTCCAACAACTCAAAGGACAGGAGATCCTAAAAACAGTAGATAATGGACTATTAATAGCAATCTGATGATCCAACTACAGTCAGATTTCTCACAACTCCCAGTAGCGTTAATTTCTGTACTCTTTAAATATACGGTATGTCAACCATTTAGCTAAAATAAAACCCAGACACTAAGGAGCACAAGCCAAGAAGAAATATGACAATGAGAGAACTGGAGAGGAGACATGAATTTAAGGAGATGCAATGTAGTGCAAAGAGGGAGGTGGCAAATGCAAAGCGGACAGTGTATGAGTTGTATGGGAGACAGGACACTAAAGACTGTGAGAAAGACTTGAACCAATTGGCGAAACAGAGGGATCGGGCTGGAAAGGATGTGCAGCAGGAAGTGGGAAAGATTAGTGAGGGTGAAGTTTATATTGCTCTGAAAAAAAATGAAGAAGGAGCGGGCAGCAGGACCTGATGACATACCAGTGGATGTTTTGGAAATGACTAGGAAAGATGGCAGTGAGGTTTTTGACTCAAATAGTCAATGGCATATTTGAGGGTGAGAAAATGCCTCAAGACTGGAGGAGAAGTGTGCTGGTGGCCATTTTTAAGAACAAGGGTGATGTACAGAGTTGTAGCAACTACAGGGGAATTAAGTTGATGAGTCACACAATGAAGATCTGGGAGAGAGTTATGGAAGCAAGACTTAGACGAGAGGTGACTGTGAGCAGCAGTATGGTTTCATGCCAAGAAAGAGCACCACAGACACCATCTTTGCTTTGAGGATGCTGATGGAGAAGTACAGAGAGGGTCAGAAAGAACTCCATTGTGTCTTTGTGGATTTAGAAAAAACATATGATAGAGAGCCGAGGGAGGAGGTGTGGTGTTGCATGGGGAAATCTGGAGTGGCAGAGAAGTATGTTAGACTGGTACAGGACATGTATGAGGACAACAGGACAGTGGTGAGATGTGCTGTAGGAGTGACAGAAAGCTTCAAGGTGGAGGTGGAAGTGCATCAAGGATCAGCTCTGAGCCCCTTCTTGTTTGCTCTGGTGATGGACCGACTAACAGATGAGGTCAGGCAGGAATACACATGGATGATGATGTTTGCAGATGACATTGTGATCTGTGGCGAGAACAGGGAACAGGTGGAAGAGAACTTGGAGAGGTGGAGGTATGCAGTTGAAAGAAGAGGAATGAAAGTCAGCGTAGTAAGACAGAGTACGTGTGTGAATGAGAGGGAGGCCGGTGGAACAGTGAGGCTACAAGGAGCAGAGGTCACAAAGGCGCAGGACTTCAAGTACTTGGGGTCCACTGTCCAGGAAAACGGAAAGTGTGGCAAAGAGGTGAAGAAGAGTCCAGGTATGATGGGAAAAACATTTCAGGAGTGATTTGTGACAAAAGTGTGTCAGCAAAGGTCAAAGGAAAGGTTTACTGGACAGTGATGAGACCAGCTATGTTGTGTGGTTTGGAGACAGTGGCATTGACAAAAAGACAAGAGAAAGAACTGGAAGTGGCAGAAATGAAGGTGTTGAGGTTCTCCTTAGGAGTGACAAGGATGGATAAGATTAGGAATGAGATCATCAGAGGTACAGCACAGGTTGAACAACTGGGAGATAACCTGATGCATGCTCAATAATCCAGGTAAAAAAAATCTAAAAAAGTTAACTTCGGATGAAATACAAAATGTTTCTACTATTTTTTTTGGTTTCGTTTTGTTTTTTGAATGTCCAGAGGACCAGACTTAAATTTTTTAGATAAACTGGGAGATAAAGTTAGAGAGGCCAGACTGAGATGGTTTGGACATGTCCAGAGGAGGGACAGTAGTTATACTGGTTAGAAGGATGTTAGAAATGCAGCTGCCAGGAAAAAGACAAAGAGGAGACATATGGATGCAGTTAGAGAAGACATGGAGGTAGTTGGAGTGAGGACAGAGATGGAGGAGGATGACTCGCTGTGGCGACCCCTGAAGAGGGAAAAAGCTGAAAGAAGACTTATATGGGGTGGAAGCCATCTTGGATTTTGTAGTGGCAATCCAATTTTCAAAAGGACCCTTTCTTACACCTAGATGTAGCCACACACCAAAATGGAAGTGGGTATCTCACTGGTTTTTCAAGTTATCATGCTCACAATATGGATGAACGGGAGGTCAGACAAAGTGTATTTCCAACCCCCACCTTTGCTCCGTGATGGGGAACAAAAACACATTTGCATATTTTCATCTAGATTTGAAGTGCTCCCAATATCTTTCATAAGAACCATTAAAGTACAAGACTGGGTACAGTCAGAACAAAGCAATGAATCAAATCAAACCTCATCAAAAATCTTCTGAGCACATCTTTATGAGAAGGTGCCACTTTGCCAGCTTCTAAGTTTGAAGCTACGAAGCAATTCCTCATTTTTACAGTTTATGTTTGGACAAAATGCTAAAAAAAAAAATACACATTTTAACAGAATGCTGCTTTAAAACGTGTCATTGGATGGGGGGGGGGGGGGGGGGGCTTTTTGAGTGTGCACCTGTGCAGTCAGCAGGTCAACTGATGGAAAGTAGTAGTCTTCATGGGGGAGGTCTACAGTGAAGGCAGAACCACTGGTCCCGGATCTTACCTCCTTCTCCACTGGCTTCACCTCCTCCTTCTAAAGCAGAAACAGGGAGGACGTCAATACTTCACCACAACGTCCATTCAAACATTTACTTTTATACTCGGACTTTGACGTGTCCAACTGTTCTATCCAATTTATGTACAACAGTCTTTTTAAAAACAGTTTTAGATTTTACGGGAACTTGGCGTTTTCCGTCTTACGCTTTTAAATGTAAATATAAAAACTGCCGTGCGCAGAAGACGCAGCAACGGCAAACAAAACAAGGTCAAAGTCTGAACACATTTACGAATTTTAAGGACAAAGTCTTCTTTAACTCCAGATAAATGATAAACATCTTAATCACAAACAGCCCCTCTACTATTACAACCCAACTCCAACAGAGTTGGGACGTTGTGTGTAATTTAAATATAAACAAAATGCAGCAATTTGCAAATATAAACCATAGTAACATAGTAAAAATATAAAAAAAGCTAAGAAATTGTACCACAGTTGGAGATGATTGTGAATTTTATGGCAGTAACGCAAAACGCTGAAAAATCAGCGATACAAATAAAACAGGAGGAACGTTATTTTGTAAATCATTTGGATTAATTTGCAACACGTTATTAAAAGAACTGGGAATAAAAAGAACATTTTAAAAGGGCTGAATCTCTCAGAAGTAAAGATGGGCAGAGGTTTACCAGGCTGTGAAAAACTGTTGAAAAATGGAGCACCAAGTTCAGGGTAATGTTCCTCTACCATCTAAAGTTCATAATAAATATCAACAAATGATTTTAATAATCTTGATAAAGCGCTTGAGCTCAAAGGACGAGGCTGAAAGTCAATAATGGATGGTCTTGATATTCGGGCCCTCTGGGATCGTTGCATTAAAAACAGGTCTGGTTCTGTTCTGGACGTCACGCACGGGTTCAAGAAAACTTCCACAAATCGTAGTCTTTAAACACAGTTCATCGTACCATTCAAAAATGCTGCTTAAAGCTCTATCAGGCAAAGAAGAAGCAATATCCAGAACCGCTGGACCAGAGCTCATTTTAAATGGACCGAGGTGAACCGGAGAACAGTTCTGTGGTCAGATAGATCAAACTTTTGGAAACCACGGACTCCACATCTTTTGTACGAAACAAGACAGGGATAATCCAGTCTGCTTCGCTGATGGTATGGGGGTACATTAGTGCCACTGGAATAATCAGCTTACAAATCTGGAAAGGCCCAGTCCATGCAGAACATATACGGGTTTTAAAACAACTTTAGACAGTTTTTTCAGGGAAGGTCTTGCATATTTCATCAAGACAATAATAAACAGCATCCATTCCAACAGCACGGCTTCGTAGAAGAATCCAGGTGCTGAAGTGACCTGCCTGCAGTCCAGACTTCTCACCAGTTCAAAACATTTGATGCATCATGAAACAAGAAGTCCAGCAAAGACTGGACAAGGACTGTTGAACAGCTGGAGTCCTCCATCAGACCAGAATGAGACAACATCCCCTCCAAAGCCTCCAGCAGCTGGTCTCCTCAGGGCCCAGACGTTCGGACTTTTGCTAAAAGTGGGGAAACACGGATGTGTCCCAACTTTTCGAGATGCGTTGCTGCCATAAAAGTCAAAATCGTACCATTTTAGTTTTAATATTTATTTCCTAGGTTTCATTGTGAATAAAAAGTGGGTTTATCCGATTTGCATTTTGTTTTTATTTACATTTTTCAGTGTCCCAAGTTTTTCAGAAATAGGGTTGTAATTTTTATCATTTGTTTTCTCCTGATTGATTAAGTGAGGTATGCAGTCAATGCTAAATCTCGTTTTGTTATATCGTTTTGAAAAAATATACTTTTACAGTAGTCCCTCGTATATCACGAGTGATCCGTACCCTGAAGACCCGCGATAAGTTCAATTCTATTCAGTTTAATTATAAAGCGCTAAGTCACAACATAAGTCATCTCAGGGCACTGAACCGAAAAGTGAAAAACTGTAAAGTGGGAATAGTAGTACAAGTACTAAGTGGTAGTTATATATATATATATATATATATATATATAAATATATATATATATATACATATACATATGTGTGTGTGTGTTTTAAACCCTTCCCACACTCAATGCAATATTATAAACGATGTTTCTAAACTGTAAACGCTCTAAAAGACACCAAATGTCATGATTTCAGCTCCCTGCCATCTGCAAGCGCTCTTGGCCACGCCCACTTCTCCGCTCTGCACGAGAACAGCTGATCAGCTGCAGCAGGAAGTTCATCCTGCAGTACGGGCTGCACAAAGGTGCAGCAGGTGTTAAATGATTTAACATAATTTATTTATTTTTAATTAAAAAATTCCATGCCGATCGTGCGGCTCATCCGTCAATCAGCCAACTGTGTGTCATGTCCAATCTTATTTTGAAAAACCGCGATAGAGCGAGTCTTTGATAAACGAACTGCGAAGTAGCGAGGGACTCCTGTATACCGTATATATTTTTTTAAACAGAACAATGAATTTTTTTTGGATTATATTTAAAAAGATGCAAATTGCCAACAAATGCAAACACATAGAGCAGCAACAACTTTATGTAATTTAGATAAACATGTTTTAGCTGTAGCTGTAGCTAGCTGTAGCTGTGGGTAGTGTCACTGGATAGCAGACTTGCCAATCGTTTGCTTTGGTGCCCGAGCGCGCTGCGGCTGCTGCCAGGGTCGACCACAATGCTGCACCAGACCCGCGGGCCAAACTGACACCCGCAGTGCGCCAGCCGCCAGTGGGAGGTGTACGTTCCTTCCATGACCGGAGCAACAAACGCCACACTGACCACTCCCACTTGTCCGGGAAGCAGCAGGGGCACAGGCACCTCCCTCCTCTCCTCTGACGCCAGGCCGAGGTTCCCCCACATGAACACTAGCTGTGTGCACGCAACACACATACACAAAACACAAAATAGGAATACACATGCGAAAAGGCACAAAGACGAACAGCATGCAACCGGAGTCACACAACGGAAGAAAAAATAAACTCAAGTGTGGGGTACACTCATATTAACAACCAGACGACAAAAATTTAAAAACTTAAGAAAGGACAAAACAAATTTAACTGAATTAAATAATAACGACTATCTGGGGGGAAAAGTGCATTAGTTGTACAAGGCTGTAAAGGTATTCTTAGCTGGTTAGTGGATAAGGAAAGGAAACAAGTTTAATGGGGACTCTAGGAGTGGAGGGGGCAAAGAGAGTGTGGAGCCTGGCCTCTCGATGAGTAGGAGGGGTACCTTAGTCTCTGAGGTCCAGCTGACTGTGCCCGAGTTCTTCATCTTCCAGTATTTGATGAACTTGGTATCAGGCTCCAGACGGGTGCCATCAGGCAGATTTTCATCCAGAAACAAGGCAGCCATAGTGGGCACCAAGGACGCGTTCGAGACCCCAGGACCCCTAGTTTCAAGTGTACAGAGCATTGTTGAAAAAAAGCCCTGGCTGCTTATTATTACGCATCTCTTTTGTTTCTCTACGAATCAAAAAAAAGCAGGACACCAGTACTTTTTCAGCTCAAAAACATTTTTTTTTTTTTTTTTTTTTTTAGAAAATCTATGAAGCAGCAGCAGTTTTCACATTGAGGTAGTTCCAACATTTGCCACCACCCCAGAGCAGCCAGCGAAACACTCACACAAACTAGATTACAAAGATGGCATATTTCTTTTCTGGGAAAAAAAACAAAAACAAAAAAAATACTTTTTTTTTTGCATCCATGCTGGGTTAGAGGTACCCAGCACTGTCGGACGCCCTTCCGAGATGGCGCTTACTCTGGACTGGAGTCCTGGGGGTCAGGGACCGGGGCTGAGATGGGGTCTTGGACTGTAGCTGTTTCTGAGGCGGCGGGAGGGGACATGGCTGGGACCTGGATGGACGCCGAGGCCATGCTTGTCAAGTTGGCTCTGCCTGAGGTAGAGGGTCCACTCAACTGCAGCCCCCTCTTCTCCAGTCTCAGTTTCTTCTTGATTTCCTTCACTTCTGCTCTCAGCTGCCTTCTTTCAGCTTTGAGGCGCTGTCTCTCGGCCTTGCGCACAGTTCTGTCTCCTCGCCTCGGGAACCTGGTTTGAAATGTCATCAGGAACACCTATTTGTTGACTATCAAAAGTTTATTGTTCAAAAAAAAAAAAAAAAAAAAACACACATCCCCACTCATTTAATGAATTACGGTTATTTTTTCCTTTATTAAATGTAGTATATATGTAGGACAGCAAAACCAGCTAGCATCGTTACGAGCTAAAATGTCAAATTATGTCAAGAAGAAGATGGATGGTCCTCAGTTTTGGAGGTTTACCTAAACTCTCCTGACATTCCATGCTCGGGGATGGAGAGCGGCGTCTTGGTTCTAACGAGGCTGTGACTCGGATCGTGGCTTTGTCTGCACGTCTCACACAGGATGCAGGACGGACACACACTGGCAAGAAAAAAAAAATGGGTGTAAACAACAAAATGGTGCAAGAAAGTAAAATAAATGTCAAATTTCATGCCCACCTGCACTTGTAAGCCCCATCGGAGGTGAGTTTGTTGCAGGTGCTGCAGTTCGGAGTGTAGCCGAGCGATCCGTTAGAGGTGGAGGGGCCCGGTACAGGTCCCAGAGGACCTCCGCAAGCACCGCTGAGCTCCTGGAACCCATCAGAGGATTTGTGGGTACAACACTGGCCGGAAAAGTCATTGCACATCCTTTCCACTACCTCCTTCACAACTTCATCCTTAAACTGGGATCAAAATTGTAGTTTTAGTAGAAGCTTCAACCATTTTACTAGTTTTTTTTTTTTTCCAGAAGCAGCTGACCTTCTCCATGTACGATCTGAACCACATGGGAGGGGGTTCATCTTCAGGTTTGTTCCCCTTGTTGTCCTTTACTGGTACCTGTAAAAGAAACGACATACTGACATTAGTCAAATGACATTATCAAACAGATCATAGAAAATATGGTACCACTCTACAATAAAGCTCCCCTCATAGATGCTAATAAATAGTTTATAGATGCGTTATTAATTCCTCTCTAAACACTTCATAAATCATTAATAACTGCTTATTATGCATTTAGGGTGACAAGAGAGACTAAACAGATCTGTTTCTGGCCAAATAGTGATCCAAATCTGTTCACCAATATATTTCATCTAGAGTTTTTATATTAAACATTTCAGACTGCCATATTTTCCATTGTACACGTCGCACCGTCCTATAAGTTGCATCAGTCCAAATATGTCTAATAAAGTGAATAAATCCATGAATACGTCGCTTCGCCGTATACATCGCATCTATTACGCGTCACTGCTGACAACCACGAAATTAAATGGACCGGTGTTGTGCCAAAAATCGATTGGCTGCCAAATGGCGGCCGCAGGAGCGTGCACAGGAGGACTTTAACAAAACATTTAACAAGATTAATACTTAAAAACAATTATTTGCTTGCTTGAAATTATAGCAAAGGTGTGTCTGAGTCTAAATTTACTTAATAAATGCACTTTGACGGCCAAATCAACTGCATTTCAAAACCCGATTTGTGGAAGCGGGCACGCACAGAGGGACGAGTCTGTGCATTTCTTCAAAATTTAACAAGATAACCACCTAAAACAATTATTTGTTTGCTTGACTTTATAGTAAAGGCGCGTCTCAGTTGAACTTTTACTTAATAAATGCACTTTAATGGTAAAATCAGCTGCATTTCACCCGGGCGGCCAGTGAAATGAAGCTGATTTGACGATTGCTCCAAGCAGCAAGCAGAACAAAGGTGGAAGACTATGGCAAGCCGATTGTGTCATTAATAGCCACTTTTAATTATTACATGACACCACGGCATGCCATACTACTAGAGTGCCATCTAGCGGCTGAAAATGGTAGTGTTCAATATTTTCTGTCAGAATGAATGAAAACAGTCATATCTCAGACAAAAATTGTTTTTTAAATATGGGAAAAAAACATAAATAAGTAATTTTGCTATATATGGCACAGGGCATGCAAATTGTGCAAAAAATTGTGACTTATATGCCGAAAAATACGGTAAGTTACTACCTTGTAAGCACATAATATTGTACTTTACCACTGCATTATAAATATCTACAACTAATATAATATGCTAAAGAAATAGGTTAACAAATGCTTATTGTGCTTCCAAGGTCGAAACTTAGTCTGAAATGTTAAATATAACAACTCTAGATGAAATATATAGGCGAACAGATTTGGCAACGAACTGGACAGTTATGTCTAGGGCCGAGTACCGAACCGAGGTTCTTAAATGGCACCGACCGAACTTCACCGGTCGGTGCATGGATTGAAACGTCACTCTTCTTTCGGTGTCAAGTTTCGGTATTGGCTGTAAGGTGTCATGTGGTTTCAGCACGTCGGCACGTAAAACGCAGACATATGACAAACAGAGTACGTGTTTACACCCAAAGCTGTATACAGCTGCCGTACCTAATCTATGTATAATGTATGTCTATGGTGCTGGTTGCGCCCACAGACGGGGTTCACGTGTGCAGCACGTGTGCAGCGCGTGTGCAGCGAGAACGGCTTCGACAACACACGCAACTTTCTACTTGTTGCTCCGTTTTTCTGCAAGAAAAGAGACGGACAGCAGCCTCCCCTCCTCCCCTCAGCATTAAAGTCAGCCTGTGTGTGTTAAACGACCTGAATCAACATTCCACGGCCCGACTCGTCTTCATCAAAGAACTCCCGAGGACGGAGCTGTCTGTGTTTCAGCTGGTGAGTTTACGTTTGTTAACGTTACAGCAGCTTAACACGTACATCGCTGAGAGTTACACTAGGATCCATGTAACGCTAACTTTAAGATATTAGTGTGTAAATTTATTTTATCTACGTAGCTAGCTAAACTCAGAAGCTAACTAAAGATTGACAGTAACAGATGAAGCTTAGCTTGTAAAACTGTGCTCATCCATCGGATCAGCTGCTTAAACAGTTCAACTAATGCTCACTGTTTGTTAATGTTCTCCTCACAGGAGGTTCTGACCCTGATGTGAGGACAGAGACTCGCAAAATAAAAGCGAGCTGGGGGCCACAGGACAATCACAAACTTTGTTGTTAAAAGTTTGCTGCTTTTTCTACAGTGGAGGCTGCACGGTGGAGGTAAGTAAACTGGAAAGGACTTTGTTGACCAGTTAAACCTTTATCTCTCAGCCTAGATAATGTTTTTTGAGTAATAATAACACAACCATGTTATTGTTGATGTTTTGTTCTAATGTCAATTAGGGAGATGATCAGAGCCCTAAACCCCAGAGAAGATTCAAGCAGAGACACAGAGGTGCAGATGTCTGCATCATCCCTTACCTCAGTGAATCCAGTGACCTGCTGGTGGAATGTGAGGGACAATATGTCAAACTGACAAGCAGGTGTCTGTGTGTGCAACAATCATCATCTACAGCCTCGGAGTGAACACTTCCTACTGCTGGAGACACCATCAGCCAGGAGTGGGCTTGTTTGTGTCCACTGAAAGAAGACATGTTGATTCTGAAGAAAAACTGTTCAGTGAAACGGTCCTCATTGTGTAGCAGTGAGCACTAGACACTGACGTGCCACTGGTTTGTAACTGGTCTTTTGAACTGGAAATTATTTGTTTGTTTTTATGTAAGAAAACTGCTTGGAATAGAAAAATACCTAAATTAAAAAATAAAACTCACAATTTGTACTGTGATGTGTAACGTAATTTTATTCTTGTTAGAATTAATAGTAATTACAAAATTGGTACCGAAAAAAGAACCGACACCGAAGTGAAGGTACCGACACCGATACCGATTTTTTTTAGAAAGGTACCCAGCCCTAGTTATGGCTCTTTCTCACCCTTAATTAATGAATAATAAACAATAATTAATAATTTATTAAGTGTTAATAGAGGAATTAATAACACATCTATAAACTATTTATTAGCCATATATAAGGGTAGCCTTATTGTAAAGTGGTACCAAAAATATTTTAAATAACTTGACTCTAGGGGCTGATTTAGAGCAAATATATATATATTTTTTACACCCAAGTCAATAGAACATAAACATTAATGTGTAAGATGGAGAGAAAATTATTTTTCTTACAGTTTCACGCTCTGGAGTGACCTGGGTGCCTTTGTCTACTGTTTTGACTCTTGATGGGTAAGGAGGAGCAGGTCGGAGGTCTCCTTTGAGCTCCTTCACCTCCGTTTTCAGCGGGCCTCCACAGGCCTGTCCTTTCATCTTGTACACGTTCATGTGCAACTGGTTGCCCTGCTTCTCTGCGCTCTGCAAAGAAAAATGAGGAACAAACACAAATCATAAGCAAAAATTTGCAAGATGAAAGGATGTCTCTTTATATTACAATTTGCAGTATCTTTGCAATATATTTATATATAATGTATTTTGTCATGCACTTCATTAATTACATATTAAAAACCCGTATGTAATGTGCACATATGTAATGTAACTTAACGTAATGTGTAAATGAATGTCTCTTCTTCAACAGAAAAGCAAATGTCTACTGTACCTTGATGGCTTCTTCATACTCATCTGAAAAACAAACAAACAACAAATAAATACACATAAACCTGAATCCAACAAAACGTTTATAATATTTTTCTTACCTTGACTGTTTATGCAAATCTGAAATAAAAAGGAGAAAATATCAAGATTAATATACTGACTCAACCAGAAAGTATTTGCATTAATATATATATATATATATTTTTTTTTTTAATTGCCACATTATTTTTTTACATAAAAAAAAACATTTATTACAAGTTAAACTTGTTTTTTACTCTACAAGGTTAATCCGACAACTTTAGTCAAAAGGTACAGATTTAGATGTTTGTTGACAAAGAACAGCAAGTTCTGAATTGACCTGAGCAGCTGATTGACACAGAACCTTTAGGTCAGAGTTGCTCAACTAAAAACAAGACAAAACAACTTTAACAAATTATTAAATTCCATTTTTTTAAACAAACAAAAAATTGTCATAACAATTGAGTAATTTTATACAAGCAGGATAGGTGTTAAAATGTTATATTTCATTCTGAATACTTGAAAAACAGAATTTTACTGATTAATGACGTAATGTTTCTACAGGACTGATCACTTCCTGTTCAGACCTATTTGGTGTTTTACCTCTTCGTTGTCTTCATCAAAGTATTTCACTTGAAAGTGGTTGATCCCAAATGATGCTTTGATCTGAAATGTACGAAAACAATACTTTAGATTAAATCCACAGCGAACACATTCCAATACAGTCACGTTCACTCAGAGTACACAACATCAATAATACAAGGAGGCCTTGAGAAATACATCGGCGGCAGAATTCCGTATGAAAACAGGAAGTAATGTTAAATTCAACTAAGCGCATTTTCTTCCTCGTGCCTGTTACAAATGATCAGTTTCGCACACATCTTGTTGACAGTATCGATTGTCCTTCGGGTTTTCTGTCGTTTACGTGTCTGGGCCGTGTCTCGGCCTGCTCTGTGCCAAACTGCGCCAGCTTTTAGCTAACACTAGCAGCTCACCCAGGCTTCCACGTACTCCCACTCCAGTTTGTCCAAGTCCTGTGCCAGAAACCTCTTCACGTTGCCGCGGAAGTTCACTTTGATAGTAACAGGGAGCCCCATGACGGCCTTCCTATGTCTATTTAACGGCTACCATTTGCGATGACGGCGGGCCTGCTTGATACCCGTTGCCCTCGACTGCCTTCGCTCTTGTTTACATCGTCAGCTGCGTCGGGGAAAAATACGGGGACGTCACGCGCATGCGCACTCGCCGGCAACGCCTCCGTCGCGCTCCTTTGTCGTCATCTTTAAGCTAACGCGAGTGTGGCAGAAGACAGAAGCCACACGTTTAGTCATTTGATGCTGGTGGAGCGATCTTTACTGACGTTTTTGAGCCCGTAAGATGTCTTCACTCCTCAAGGTGGACAATGAAATTAAAACCAAGGTGAGAGTTGTCCCCGCGGAAGCTTCAATTAGGGGTTTACGACGTAATGTAGCTTGGTAGCATGTTAGCCACATTTGTAGCGTGATGTGGGCTAGCCTGATAGCAGCTAGCCGTGGCTAACCGGCTTATTTCCCGCCTGCTACAGTTCACACGTGAACCATTTACGCAGGTGCTGGCTGACATTTAACTTCAGGGGAATGAAGTGCAGGCTTTGGAACAGCTGTTCTGTGTATTAATAAGAAATTAATCTGTAAAAAGCGCAAGCAGAGTCACGAGGGCCTTGGTGGTGAGCTAACTCAACGTGTGTTCTCTTGTCATACCGATCTGTAACAATCGATTCAATATTATTACAACTTTAACACAGACCAGCGTTTAAGATGCCAAGGTGTTTTCCATTTCGTCAATTTTGCATATAAACCATTTTATAATTTATTATGCATTAAAACTTTCCATTGACGCTGCTTAATAAATTGGGTAAACATATATAGTTTAGAAAACTTGCAAACTTTGGGGAATTGGGACACACTATTTTACTGTTAGCTGAAGAGTTTACAGGTTCGTGTTTGAATAAATAAAATATGTGTATGAATTTTTAAAATGTGGGTGTTGGGATGAAAGGCAATGGTAAAAATTCTAATAAATATTGTGGCTGTGCACAAACCTTTACTGTGAAAGTTTCATGAAATTCTCCAAAAAAAATACTATAAAATTGATCAGTATTAAGGGAAAACTCTTATTTATTACTAGGTGGTTGTGGTTATTCTTTTGAGATGCATTATGAAGCCTGTGAAATGTATTTAATGAAATTTAGGGGTGATAACTCAATTTCAACATTAAATGCAGCTTTAAAAAAAAAAATCTGTTGCATCTAGACTTCCTTAGAGAAGGGCCAGAAGAAAAAGTTTGAAGTTTACGTTGGGTTTAAACAAAATATCAAAAATTTTGAAACCTAAAAGTGTAATTTGGCAAACTTTAAAACACACGGGTGTCTTCATTTGTTCATATCAGTCATTATCTTCCTTAATTTCCTTAATTAAACTGCATTTATTCTTTGGTTATGTTGTTGTTTTTAAGTTCTTTCTTTCAAACGCTGTGGGGTTTTCCCTCTTTATCTGTCAGACCCTTCCACTCCCTCTGTATCAGATCTCAAACTTTTATCAGAGCCTTTAACGTTGCCTTTGAAATGCCCAAAATTTAATTTTAATGTCTGTGCTGCATCTGGTACACGGCAGTACCTGCTGTTTATTAAAAAACTGTTTCTGTGTGTAATTAATCTGTCCACCAACACGTATAATAAATCCAGACCATGTCTTCAGTCACAGATTTAAATTGGAGAATTAAAAGTTTCAGTTTAGAGCTGTTTTAAAAGGTTTGTTTAGCTAATATAGTGTGGCTTTTTACACGTTATAACCAGTCCTGCACAATATCAATACATAATTAATGTTTTGATTAAAAACAGTTTCACTTGTTTGATTGAACTGTTCAAACTATCGTCGTCTAGTGCACGTGGTTTAATTTATCCGCTTCGTTTCTTTTTGTTTGCAGGTTGATGCTTTCAGGGAACGTATCACGGCAGAAGTAAGTGACAAACGTCTGTGGAGAGTTTCAAACATCAACTGTGATTTTAAAGTAAATCTCTGCTAAAAAAAAAAATGTGCCTTTTCTCCAGGCAGAGGATCTAGTTGCAAATTTTTTCCCAAAGAAGCTGCTGGAACTCGATCATTTTCTCAAGGTCAGTTTTGTGCTTATCTGGATTTACAGCGTGGGAACTGAGGTTTTTTTTAGAGTCAAACTTTGTGTTTCCTAACAAATTAAGGGTTTAAATAAAAGACTCTTAAGGCAGCACAATTCATCCAATTACACAGAGTTCTAGTCACATTGAATATGTAGAAAAACTGTAATTTCTTTATTAATGTTGCTGAGATTTCTACAATCATCATTTCCAACAACAAACATTTAAGAATTGTTTTTCTCAAAAGTCAATGCATTGAATCCAATTTTAATGGTGTAATTACTTACTCATCCCAATCATCCCTCCTGAAACAGAACATGTTTTTCACATCCAAACATGTTTTGAGCGCACATTTTTAAGAATAACGATTAACAGTTCAGTGTGAACCAGTTCAAGTTTTTAACTTTCAGGATCCGAGCATAAACATTGCCGAGCTGAAGGACATTCACTCAGAGATTAACCTGACGGTGCCGGACCCCATTTTGCTCTCGAACCTCCACGACGGATTGGAAGGGGTGAGTTTTAGGGTTCCACGATAATTACAAAGACTATCTGCTGAACCAACTCTGATCCGGTTGTTTTTGTTTGACAGCCAAACGCCAAAAAGAGAAAGCTCGAAGATGAAAGTGGGAATGACATGGGTGAGAACCGCTCGAACCATCAGACGTTTGTGGTTCTGGACTGAATGTTTGAGACGCAACGGTTATTTCTCTCCTTTCGTTGTCTCACAGTGACGGGCACGAAGGTCTTCGTCATGCCTGGTGGGATGATGAAGTGCAACGCAACCCTTGTTGATCTGATCGAAAAGGTCAAACCAGAGATCAGGACCCTCATAGAGAAATGTAACACAGTAAGTCATGTCACTTATTCTTGGATTAGCTCTTCCCCGAGTTATATTTTTGGAACTAGCAGCAGCAGGTTTACAATCTGAGATTAGAATTGTAAGAAAATACGCATAAACACTGAACGTTGTTTGGTGAAACAAGATGATGCTCCATAAATACCAGATCTCAGCAGTTCATGTCAAACAAAAGGTTAGAGAACGGTTCGGACGTCTTGACTGATTCTCTCCAGACTTCTTTTCCTCAACACGGTTCTTTTCTTCCTGCAGGTCAAAATGTGGGTCCAGCTCCTCATCCCCAGAATAGAGGACGGCAACAACTTCGGAGTGTCGATCCAAGAGGAGACGGTAGCGGAACTCCGAACAGTCGAAGGAGAGGCAGCGTCTTATCTCGACCAGATATCAAGGTATGGCGACCTCCGATCAAAACTCATTTTGTCTTTTGTAACGTTTTAGTTCCTAGTCTTAATATAAACGTGTCTCTTTTTTTTTTACTTTAGATACTACATCACAAGGGCAAAGCTGGTTTCAAAAATAGCCAAATATCCACATGTGGTGAGTATTTTATATTGAAAGTACAAAGAAATCAAGTTCAAGAAACTTTATTATCTCCTAGGGGCAATTTATTTCACAGTCGGTACACACTTAAAACTTCCATACTCAACAAGACATTAAGACGTAACAGAAATCATCACTCATCGGCTCGACCCCGGCCAGCCGCGTCCAATCTGCCCCCCTAAATCTGTCCGTCTCTGAGGAGGGACAGACTGAGCGCGGCTGACTGAAATCGGACTGAACAAGAAGACATCGCTGAAGACACGGAGCTCAAATGTTTAACGAGAAGTTGCTAAACTTCATCATAATTAATGACCAACCACTATCACTTGTAGAAAACGAAGGAGTTCACAGCTTGATACTTGCAGCCAAGATCTAGTTTACCCTCCAGGAGATATTTATCAGTACAACAGTAAACAATCATTAAAAAAACATATGATTTGAAAATTATACATATATATATAAAAAAAAGAAGAAACAAAAACAGTTACATTATAAAGTGATGTAAAATACTAAAAACAGTCTGTTGGTTTATGCCATGAACTTAGCAGATGTTTGAAGCCATTTAACATTTAATTTAATTTAATTGAATCTGTTGGACTCCTGGCAGGGACCAACGCTTCCTGTTATTTAAAAAAAAAAAACTTAATCACTTTAATATCCACTTTAAAGCTAGGTATAAAAATAAACAAGTTTTGTGTTAGCAGAATTTAATTCTAGCTTTAAAACTTATCCAACATTAATAAAACTTCCCTCAAGTTGCCTTTTTGGACATGCATGCATATATTTGTACAAATTGTACTTGAGAGGAGATTATTACAGCCTCATGTAAAATCAATGATCATGTTATCGGAACGGGATCGGTATCGGCAGATATTTAGATTTAGGGATCGGATCGGAAGTGTAAAAAGTGCATCCCTAGTTACGACAGTTGGCGACTCAAAATTGTGAGAACATGTTTGTGACCAACTTTAAAAATCACAGCCTCTTTCCGTGTTTATAGCTCACGAAGCTGCATTCTTGGCTGCGCACATTGTTTTGTTTTTTTGTCCGTCCACACCCAAACGTTTATGACTCGATGTACCGGAGCAGACTTTGAAACTTCATGACGACAAAATTGAAAACTCCTCGGAGGTTTCCCTCAGATGTCAGTCCCTAACAGCCGTGGTGCAGCGAGGTACCTGCCTTTAACCTGGAGCTAAAAGCAAAAGCAGTACAGGTGTTGAAGTCTGATCGATGGCGCTGTATTGTCTCATTAGCTAGAAAATCACTCTCCTCAACCTGGACATGGGAAACTTCGTGCACTCATAAAACTTAATGCTATAATTAATGCTTAATGCTATTATTGCTTTAAATATGTTTTTAAAGCTTTCCCAGAATAAAATGGTCATAAATTGGGATCATAAATACACTTAATTGGTTTGTTTTCCATCAGTCTTTACTTTCTGTTCTTGGGTTAAGATGCCAAAACAATAAAAACGTTGGGGCAGATTCTTGGTTCTAGTCTTTAGGTCCGTCGTCTTCTGCAGTTTCCACGAACCGTTTTGTTTCTCTCTGATCCAGGAGGACTACCGGCGCACAGTCACAGAAATTGACGAGAAGGAGTACATCAGCCTGAAGATCATCGTTTCAGAGCTCCGAAATCAATACGTAGGTGTTTGTCTTCTTTTCCTGTTTTTACTACTTCCTGCTCGGACCTGACGGGTCGTCTTCCTTTTCAAGGTAACGTTACACGACATGATACTGAAGAACATCGAGAAGATCAAGAGGCCTCGGAGCAGTAACACTGATGCGCTGTACTGACGTTCGTCCAGCTGTCTCTGCCTTCCTCTACTCCTGCCTGTGGCGCTGCAGCCTGACCCCCACCCCCCCGCAGGTCAACATCTAGACATTCACCCACATCAACACAATCAACTGAGCCCAGTTTGGAAATAGCTTCTTAGACAGACGTCTGCTCATGTTTTGTTGTTTTTATTGTTTGTTTTTGTTTTTCTCAAGATGGAGAAATGAATCATAGACAACATAAAGCGCTATGTATTTTTTAATTTTAATTAAACATTTTGTCTTCGGACCTTTGTCACTTTCTTTTTTTGAAGCCCTCAGATATTCTGTGCTTTCTCCATCTGGGGAGGTAACGCAAATGTTTAATGTTCAACATAGTGAGATCGCTTCTCGTATGTTGGGGCATTGATTCCATGAAATAAAAATGCTTTTTTAATTAAACTTTACTTGTTGGGTAAGATGCATTTTAATATTATATAAAAGTGACAGTTGCACGTTTCAGCCTGCAGGTGTCGCTGTAATTTATCCGCATCTAAACACACCAGACAACAAAAGTTATGTTTCCGTCCTGCCTCAGTCCAAAAGTGTTCTCTTTCTAGATGCTGTCAAAATGTGAAGTTCAGCTTCTCGTCCAGTAATTCGGTTAAAACCAGGGGACGCTTCTTGCTCAGTTGAGAATCAACGTTCTGGACGCTGTCCGGACCAGAGCTTTAAGGAAACGTGGAGTAGAACTGGGACAGTTTCAGGTGGTTTTGGACGGTTTTCCAGTCACCTGGAGTTCTTTGTCGTTGGTTCCGCTGAAGTGGAGAGATGGAACATTTTAATCTGGAACTGATTTTGTCCCAGGATCAGAGGAGCTGTCCAACAAGGGGACAACATTTTCCACCTAGAGGAGTTCAAAGTCAAGGGGGTCTTTTTTTTTTTTTTTTCACTTTGACACAGATTTAAAGCTCCTGTAACTTATGAAACTATAAACGAAGCCAGAACAACACCTGACTTTTAGGACCCGAGACCTGGATCCGTTCTACCATCCTCAAATCATCGTAGCGACCCAAACCCATAAAGACACAGACTACAAGTTTATAAAAAAGCTAAGAGAAAATTAAAACCACAAAGGAGAACTTTCCATACATCTATAAAGAGCAAGAAGCTTCAAAAAGTAACATCAAGCAACGCTGGAGGCCATAAACCTGAGAAACGAATGAAGCAGACCTCAGCTGGTCCAGATGCTCTGCTGGATAGATACCAGTAGATGGATACTGGTAGTCCCAGTGACACATTTGAAGCATCCAGTAGCATGTTCTAATTGTACAAAAAACATGAAATAATCAGAAAAGTAAAATGCGATGAAAAAGATCCACTCACAACCAGAAGAACCAAATACCAAGATGAAGCTCTGGAGACCTTCAGGATTCCTCACTGAAGGAATTTCTGCGACAAGAGATTTTAGGGCCTGAAAAGTTCTTCATAAAATACGTAGCGGTGTTAGAAATGAGGTCTTTGTCCAAATGAGGAACTCACAACTGAATCTAAAACTTCTGAAACACATTTTTTAAAGGAGGAGCCACAAGATAAACTTTTTTAAAACCATAAATACACAGTTTTCTGGATGGACTGGTGTCACGGGGAGCTGCTGTCTGCCTTCAGCGATCACCAAGCAGGAGGTGGAGACACCTGGATGGGTTGCCAGGTCATCACAGGAGCTCAAACAACCTTTGTGCAGGTTTTTTTATTTTATTTTTTGGATAGTGGGAGGAAGATGGAGTAAACACATGGATAGACTGGAGAGAATGAAAACTACACTGCACAAAAACAGCTGAACCTTGGACGCACGACCAGCACCGTCCTATTTTTTATTGTTCTAATCACAAACATATTTTTGAGTTTTAAATTATAAACAACTAGAAAAAGTATTTTTCTGCCAAAATGCAGAATGACGAAGCTGAATTTAAGCTGTTAAACCTATAAGTAAAACTAGCTAAAAGCTAAAATGGTAGCTAAAGCCAATAAGTAGTAAAATGTAAATAGCTAACTAGCTAAAATTAGCAAATGGTTTTCGAACAGCTTAAAGGAGCTAAAGTTAAAACACAAACAGAATGGTAGCTAAAAACATAAAGTAACAAAAAGGCAAAAATAAAGTAAGTTTGCTGGTGCAGACTTTAGTGATTTTTAATAAATGTGTATTTTAATTGGGGGGGGGGGAAATAAAGTTAAATATTTTAAAGAGTTTTAAAGTTACAAACACCAAAAGTCGAAGCATCCGTCTCCTGAACGAGCCGAACGATTTGATTTACAAATGGCTAAAATAAAGTAAAATCTAATTCTGCAGAAGTCGTTCGATTGCAAACAGGAAAGCAAGCTTGTAAAAACTGATTTATTACATTCAGTCAGACGTTAATAACCTGAAAATATGCTGTGGTTTAATTTCGAGGATCATTTAATGCCCATCAATTATAAATTGTAACGTTTTCCTGTAATTAAACTATGACTGGTTCAAATAATCTGACGTCTGAAGTCTTTCCAGTCAGTTGTGATGTGATGTGAACAACCAGAGCTGATGTTTGTTGATTTTCCTGACGAGGAGATAAGATAAAGGTTTCGTCACTGAACTCGCAAAAAATAAACTAATTTGAGTTGCCTGAAACAAACATACACCAAAGATAAAGAGTTACTCAATGTCCCTGACGCAGTTGTGTCTGTTCTTATACCCCCCACCCCCCGCCTGCATGCACAGAGCAGCACCATACAGATAGGACTTGTAAAGATTTGCATCTTAAAAGATAAAAAGGACATAAAGTGATTGTAAAGGAAACGTCCTGCATCCGTAACATTATTCCCTGACCCGTTTACTGTCCTCATGCAAACGTAAATAATCTCTGGGTGTAAAGTGCTTTTTATGTAACTAAAGGAATCAGATAAGTTCATGGGTTATGAGATTTATTCAATTAACTCAGAACAACAGGTTGTTTTAGTGGGAATTATTACATACATTTAAGAATAAAAGTAAAAAAAACCTAGTAAATATACACCCTACGCACACCGTTTTAACATTCCTCATCCATAATTATAACCTTTATGATTTGTTTTTTATGTTAATGTTACTACAAAAAATGGCATATATTCATTAAATATTGGGCTGTTTCTATTATTTAATTTTTTCTGCATGTAAACTCAACTGCCGTGCAAATAATCGACAGTTTGAGGCAATTATTTTATAGTTCTAAATACAATCATTTAAAAGTAACTCGGTTTTTAATGAATGTGGCTGGAATTTGATTAAAATTTGTAGCATGACTCCACCATTTAAATATAAATTACGTAAAACTTTATTGTTTAGGAAGATTTTGCCCAGAGGTCTGACCAAAATGCTTCTGCACATAAATGATGGTCGTGCTCGTCGCTTCATGTAGTGATCAGTTATTGACTGGCACTTTGTGTACAAAAGTTTTACAAAAATCCTCAGAAATAAAAACCCTTTAATCTGATCAATACATAATTTTTCCCCCTAATCCCATGAAGCTTCATCAAATATATTTACTTGGTGTCTCCTAAGTACATCCCCTTTAAATGGCTTGAAATGTAGCAGCAGATTGTAACATCGCTACTCGCATGCACAATAACAGGACAAAGGTGTGTGAGAGTGACCTCTCACCCTGCTGATCACAGAGTGTTCAAAGCTCTATTGATAGATAATCCGAGCAGCTTCTGAGTCTAAAGCGGTAAAGAACACGCATGTTGTCTGCATCACTTTCCGCCCCTTGACCCTCAGTGTCTCTTAAAGGAGCGTGTCTGCCCTGAAAGTCAGAGTCTCCATGCGGAGTGACGAGAGCATGCTCTGGTTAATATTTAATATTTGTTCCAGTCAGGGATACATTCAGTGTCAGTCTGCAGCATTCTGAGAAAACACAGCTCCTCTAAAGCAAGCACAACCGTTTACAGAAGGCCAATGATTGTAAAAGTTGTTTTATTTACCCCCCAAAAAAAAAAAAAACAAGCCGAGGCACTGAAGTTTTACAAAAAGATTTCTGCCAATTATTGTTATCGTCCCCATAAACGCATGACTAAATTATACATTTTTGTTGAGTTTGTACAAAAAGCAATCTGTAAAAAAATATATTAAAAAAATAAAAAAAGAGCAACAAAATAACTCGATTCTTTGGAAAACTTTAGAACTTTTAGTGTACACAATGATCAAATACAGAAAAAAATGCTTTTCTTTCCATTTCTAAACAGATTTAACAAAGTTAAACTATAATACTTAAAATGATGAGCTTCATGGCTGATGGGTTTGGGTTTTAAATTACCAATTTACATGATAATCAGCAGCTAACAGTTAGCTTAGCTTATTAGCTTAACCAGTGTTAGAGAATTTTTGGCTGAGAGTTATGAACATTTTTATTGTGTTTTTATTAGGGATGCACAATACTATCGGCATGGTATCGGTATCGGCCGATAGCGATAAAGTTAAATATCGAACATCGGTCATCCAATCAGAATAACTCACAGTAAAAAAGGTGCTTTATATATATATATATATATATATATATATATATATATATATATATATTTGTATCCAAGAGTATCCAAGATGGCGCCATGTACGGTCGCCCTGGCATTCTGGTGCGCTCTGTTTTTTCTGTTTTTGTGCTTTAATCATGTGTCTGCATGCTCCTACACTCGCGAGGAGCTACTAAACATCAGAATTACAACCCATGAGGACATTACTCCAGTTTTTTTAGTGCCTGCTGCAGAACTTGTGCACTTTTTGGCCAAAAGAGTGAGACTTCGCAGGAGGGGCAGAAGAGCCGGAGCGCTCGTGCGTCTCCGGAGGCGCGGTACACGCACGCCTTTACCTGGGATATTTCTCTCCAACATCCGTTCCCTCTACAATAAAATGGACGAGATAGCG